AACAAACGGGAACCCTCATATCGTGTCAATCATCATATCCTTTTATTGGAGACCTCTCCCCTGCTCTTGGTTTAGGTACAGTTTGATCGGAATTAACAAAGAGCATCTTTACACATCACCATGGAGACTAGCGCGATAAACACAACATGTAACACGTGGAACCATTCTTTGGGCTTGTATACTGGCTCCGCATGCTATCAGGTGACTTACACGGGGGGTCATTATCCCGGCTCATTGTGAAGCTCCTATAGTCACCACTCATATTGTATTGTCATTTTGATACGTCATTCCATTTCCACCACCAAACACTTAGTATGTCCATCAGTAATCAATTCGTTGTATTCATCATCAGGCTTTGCCCTCTCAGAGTTTGTAGTATCGATTTGTACTAATCTGACTTGGGAGAATGAAGAGTTGGCAAACACCATAGGAAATGAATAAATATGTCAAAACCAATCGCTGTACGAAATCAGTGCCAGAAGCAGAACCAACCATATCGTAAGCATCTGTTTTGGGGTCAGTGGGTGAGGTAGTTCACCGCTTCCAGCAACATGCCAGCAACACGACTGGAGGCACCAGAAACAGGCTTCACACATTGCACCCATGTAGGGAATCGAACTCGGGTTAACCACTAGGCCACCCACCGCCCGTTTAAGTCAGTAATAAATAGTAACGATAACAGGTGTTAACTAAAGCTTGCCCGTATGTTGCTTCCAATGTATTTGTTCAGTCGTTCATCCTAGACAATATGATGTACAATGCCCTTGAAGGTATGTTATGTTCTACAAGCTGTATCTAAACCTGTGACCCGTGTCCACAGAAAGTGGGTATTTAGCAAAATGTTCAGGAATCAACAACTGAACAACTCAAGATACAGCGACACGCATACACCAAGTCACAACACAATAGACCGACACGCATACACCAAGTCACAACACAATAGACCGACACGCATACACCAAGTCACAACACAATAGACCGACACGCATACACCAAGTCACAACACAATAGACCGACACGCATACACCAAGTCACAACACAATAGACCGACACGCATACACCAAGTCACAACACAATAGACCGACACGCACCAAGTCACAACACACACCGCCTAAGTCACAACACAATAGATGCATACACCACGCATACACCAAGTCACAACACAATAGACCTGACACGCATACACCAAGTCACACCTAGGGCACACACAATAGACCGACACGCAGACACCAAGTCACAACAACACATAGACCGACACGCATACACCAACTCACAACACAACACAATAGACCGACACGCATACACCAAGTCACAACACACAATAGACCGACACGCATACACCAAGTCACAACACAATAGACTGACACGCATACACCAAGTCACAACACAACATACCCGACACGCATACACCGAGTCACAACAACAAATAGACTGACAGACACGCATACAACACAAGTCACAACACCAAGTCAATAGACCGACATGCATACACCAAGTCACAACACAATAGACCGACACGCATACACCAAGCCACAATAGACTGACATGCATACACCAAGTCACAACACAATAGACCGACACGCATACACCAAGTCACAACAATAGACCGACACGCATACACAATAGACCGACACGCATACACCAAGTCACAACACAATAGACCGATATGGATACACCAAGTCACAACTCAACACAATAGACCGACATGCATACACCAAGCCACAACGCAATAGACCGACACGCATACACCAAGCCACAACACAATAGACCGACACGCATACACCAAGTCACAACACAACACAATAGACCGACACGCAGACACCAAGTCACAACGCAATAGACCGACACGCATACACCAAGTCACAACACAACAGACCGAGATGCATACACCAAGTCACAACACAATCAATCTCAACAACTGCAAACCAGAGTCACGAGGACATCAAAACACAACACACAGTCACTGTGTAAAAGGGAAATATATTTGAATCGGTAATTACTGTGTTCAAATGAATTCCTTATCAGCTATTATTATCATTCAAATCATTGTATGTTTTCTTTGTACGTGGGCCGCTGGTCTTTATGCCAAAACACTCACTGAACACAACGACACCAAACTCTCGAGTACACCGAGACAAAACACATTCACTGAACACAACTACACCATACTCTCGACTACCTCAGAGTTACGAGTACATCACGACACAACACACTCACTGAACACCTATACATCAGAGTTACGAGTACATCACGACACAACACACTCACTGAACACCTCTACATCAGAGTTACGAGTACATCACGACACAACACACTCACTGAACACCTCTACATCAGAGTAACGAGTACATCACGACACAACGCATCTCACTGAACACCTCTACATCAGAGTAACGAGTACACCGAGACACAACGCATCTCACTGTGCACCTCTACATCAGACTGAACGAGTCTACATCAGAGTAACACACCGAACAACAACACATCTCACTGTGCACCTCTACATCAGAGTTACGAGTACACCACGACACAACACACCTCACTGAACACCTCTACATCAGAGTAACACCTCTAGTACACCGAGACACAACGCATCTCACTGTGCACCTCTACATCAGATCAGGAGTATCGAGTACACCGAGACACAACGCATCTCACTGTGCACACTACTCTACATCAGAGTTACGAGTACATCACGACACAACACACTCATCACTGAACACCTCTACATCAGAGTATCGAGTACACCGAGACACAACGCATCTCACTGAACACCTCTACATCAGAGTATCATCGGAGTACACCAGAGTCTACATCAGAGTATCGAGTACACCGAGACACAACGCATCTCACTGTGCACCTCTACATCAGAGTAACGAGTACACCGAGACACAACGCATCTCACTGTGCACCTCTACATCAGAGTATCGAGTACACCGAGACTCAACGCATCTCACTGTGCACCTCTACATCAGAGTATCGAGTACACCGAGACACAACGCATCTCACTGTGCACCTCTACATCAGAGTAACGAGTACACCGAGACACAACGCATCTCACTGTGCAGATGTTTGTGGCGGGATCCATACAGTTGGCAGGAGCGCTTTTGTTCCCACCTGGTGAACTTACCACCTGACCCATATTAGTGGCATTGATATTTGTGTTTTCAATTACGTAATGCAACAGTAAGTAGTACATGGCAATTGTATTGATTGTTGTGTTTTCAATTACGTAATGCCACAGTAAGTGCATAATACTAATTCGTATTGATTGTTGCTTGGCCACAGTAAGTGCATAATACTAATTCGTATTGATTTGGCTTGGTTGATATATTTTACAAATGCTAATTGACAGCATTTCTTTCTTGTATGTTGGTTTCACAGAATTCCTTTGCCGATAGATATTTGGGTTAACTTATCATTTCCATTTGAACAAAAGACACTGAGCATACAACACATGAAAGCACTACATATCAAAGCGATTGTGGTAGTATTTACAAAACTAAACATATTTCTTAAGGTGCTACAAAATGCTAAGCCTTGTGTGTCTGGCGGTAGGGCAACCTGTATTGTTTAACTACCTTCTACTTTGTGTGTATAGTGTAACTAACCTCAATTGGGAAGCGATAACGTATTGTCCGTTGTGTTTAGACTTTGAAGGTGGTATTAACCCACGTTTGGTGTGTCCAACATGTGACTGTGCTATAAACCCACGATTGGTTTGTCCAGCCTCTGTTGGTTTTATTATCCCACGTTTAGTGTATCCAGCATCCATCTGTTGGTGATATTAACTCACGTTTGGTGTGTCCAACATGTGACTGTGATATAAACACACGATTGGTTGGTCCAGCCTCTGTTGGTTTTATTATCCCGCGTTTAGGTATCCAGCATCCATCTGTTGGTGATATTAACTCACGTTTGGTGTGTCCAACATGTGACTGTGATATAAACAAGATTGGTTGGTCCAGCCTCTGTTGCTTATTATATTCGCCGCTCCATCTGTACACAGTTCCAATATAGCTGGATACATATTTGAAATAGTCCGACAAGAAAAGAACTTTGTGATATAACACACACGATACTGAAACAAAATTACACTCAGAAAAATGATTGAATAAAAATTTTTGTGTTATGGTGTTGACTTGTGCCTAAACAACGAAAAGAGCTGCCACAGAAAATCAAGGTTTTATAAATCTTGTCTTGCATTGAATATACATGTATATGTAAAGGTGATAATAACTCAAGTTTGGTGTGTCCAACATTTGAAATGAACTGATGTAATCACACGATTGGTTGGTCCAGCCTCTGTTGGTTTTATTATCCCGCGTTTAGGGTATCCAGCATCCATCTGTTGGTGATATTAACCCACGTTTGGTGTGTCCAACATGTGACTCTCATATAAACACACGATTGGTTTGTCCAGCCACTGTTGGCGCTATTATCCGACGTTTAGTGTATCCAGCATCTATCTATTGGTGATAGAACACCCCACCCCTTTTTTTCAATGTGTCTCTGTTGGTGATATTAACCCACGTTAATCATAAGGATTGAATGTGTATTATGTTCCAGTGTTAGCTCTTTCGATTCACAAATCATTTACTGGAAATACCCAACTAGTTTTACAGAACAGAGAATCACATAATACAGATTCCAGCCGACAAAAACCTCACTGAATATAGGGTGCATATGTTGTATAAGCCACACAATGTTGAAACGAAGCGTGCAAACTCTACTGTTTCCTTTTATTTCATTGTCTCTAATATGCCGCGGACGCTGTAGGTGATACTGTACACGCTGCATTCAATAACGAAAAGCAATAAAAACCCTTTCTACAGCCACATCCACAAATATTTCATGACAAACACGAATCGTGCCATGTTCACGGTTTCGCTTTGCAACTGATTCGGTCGCATGCTTTATCATGCTTCGTTTTTCAATTCTCTTTGACTGTAATTACAATGCAGGAACCTATCATTTTGGTCATTCACACACATTGCAAAAAATCACTAGTCTGGTTTGGCCCTTGGGCAAGTTGAGACATTGTCAAAAAGTAATTCTGTTCAATCAGTTTCGTAAAACCATGAATGTTCTTAATTAGAATATTGTGATTGTTATTTTTCATTCTCACCGTTCCAGTGTAGTCACATTATCAACCTACGTGGCACCGGTACCACTAGGAGACAAGTATTGATGCCTCCATGACAACAAAGCATAGCGGAATACAAGTCCACACAGTCATCTACACAGTGACTTTGGGTATGGTAGATACTGGCATGTCACAGACGATGTCGTTGTTTAAGACAACGTTGCTCATGACGCTGATCCACATAACCAGCACAGCAACTTCAGGTAGGATGATATGCTTGTTATTACTACGTGTTATTATACGTTATTGCTCACACAATTAAATAGATAGATTCGGGGTGAGTTTGTGCTCTTACAAAATACGCAAAATGACAGTTTTAACTATCTGATAGCAATTTATAATTTTATAATTTATAATTAATGTATAATTGATAATTTCTAAGGACGTTTTAGTCAGACATCATTCAGCATGAACCACACAATGTAATGGCATGCTGCCTTGTGTTGTTACATCATAAGATAGGAAATTCAGTTCTGTTTTATGGCTTTCAACATATGTTAAACATTATTATTCAAAGCTAGCATTTACATATAATTGCTATGGACGATGACCATCATGTAATGTTTTCATATATAGAAACACTTTCACTTGATGACTCCGTTTTGCAATATTAATGCCATCCCCATGGGCAAGAGAGTCGCCACTACTTAACACTCGTGGAAACTACATCGCATAAATGTTTTAACTGTTTAAAAGCAAGAAGCAGTTCAAAACGATCAACAGTTCCAATTTGAGAGGTTGTCTGCAATCGGGATGCTTAAAAAATTGGAACTGGACGGAATTGTTTAGGACATATTTATATCAAAAGATAAACCGGGTGATATCCTCTCTGTCTATCCAGTGTCCGCTAGAGTAAATGCCAACCGTGCTTTGTACATACTCCATTGTTAAAAATAACAAAATATTGACATAACTGCCTATGATAATGTCTCTCTCTCTCTCCACATTTCTGAACATCTAGGGAAGTCGCACAAAGGGGTATATATTAAAACTGATTGGAAAGAATTGTTTCAATGTTAGTTCAGAAAAATATACAGGTCCTTGTCTGATTGGTATGTAACTTTACACTTGTCGCAGGGATACACAAAGTCCGTGGTCAAGACTACAAGTTGTCCGACTTAAAGTGTTGTGGAAGCCGCGGTGGTTGAGCGGGTTAGGCGGCTGACTTTGTGTGCTGGCGATTAGGTGCCTGACTCTGAGAGCATGGGTTCGAAGCCCGGATGGGACTCAACCCAACAAACGTACTAGAATCTCTACTGAGGAAAGGCAATACCAAATTTAACAAGTGTTATAATTGTGTAAATGCCTGGTTTTACAGGTAGAGGACATGCTTGTCCTATTCGCAAACACCTGGTATCATTACAGATTTCTGGTGCTTTACACCCAAAAGAAACTGTTGTAACGGATACATGATACTTGTTTCAAACGTTTCGATATTTAATTGATTTACCGGTGTTCTTGCTGGTTGACAGGGGTGCTCTTTTTATCAGAAATACAAGTGTCATCAGTAGATGACAAATTCCCCCAGCCCCTATATACTCATGCCAATAATGGTTGTCACCCCCTCCCCACCCCAACCCCAACACCCCACACACCCTCTCCAATAAAAAAAACTGAAGGGGGTGACAGCCATTATTGGCATGAGTATATTTGAAAGAACAAATCATCTGACAGTTACTTAAAGTCCAATGAATGCCAAAAGTCTGTAAATAACAAAAGGCACCATTTTAAGATCCGTTTGATATATCTGCCAAGTTTTGTAGAAATATATTGAATCGTTTTGGAGTTGTTCTGCGGAAACGAAGCCAACAACCCTCCCTTTTGAGACTATGTCTGAATTGTTTCCATGGACTGACTGACTGCCTGAGTTTGGTTCTACGCCGCTTTTAGCAATATTCCAGCAACGTCACGGCGGGGGACACCAGAAATGGGCTTCACACATTGTACCCATTTGGGGATTCGAACCCGGGTCTTCGGCGTGACGAGCCAACACTTTAACCATTAGGCTACCCCACCGCCCCCGTTTCCATGGAAATCGGGAAGAATAAAAATGACAATGACTTTGGGATCTGCCTCATATATCTGCCAAGTTTTGTTGAAAGATATTGAAAGGTTTTCGAGTTGTGCTCCGGAAACGATACCCAACCCTCCCTTTTAAGACTAAGTCGAATCGTATCCATGGAAACCAAGAAAATTATAAATCACAAAAATCTGTGAACAGCAAAAGGCACCACTTTAGGTTCTGTTTGATATATCTACCAATTTGTGTTGAAACATATTGAAAGGTTTGGGAGTTAAGCTCGGGAAACAAAATGATTACGGACGGACGGAAAGACGGACGAGGCGTCGACTATATCCCCCCGGCACAAAGACAAACTTCATTTGGCGTAAAGGGGAAAATACCAGAGATAAATTCTTTTGTCTTTTACTCTCAATGGAATGGTGGGGCAGTGGGGTAGCCTAGTGGTTAAAGCGTCCGCTCGTCACTCCGAAGATCCGGGTTCGATTCTCCACATGTATGAAGGTACAGCGTAAGAAGCCCATTTCTTGTGTCCCCTGCCGTGATGTTGCTGGAATATGGACAAAAGCGGCGTAAAACCATACTCAACCCCTCATTCAATGGAATGGTTTCCAAGGATAGTCGAGACTGGTTATTTTCTGGTTTATTATATTACTCATGTTATAACATTAGGCCTGAGTATTTTTATGAATATCCGTTTTATAGTGCATGTTTAAAGTTCAGCGTTAATAAATTGAACTATTTCTTCCAGTTTAATATCCAGGCCCCATTACAGAGTTCAAAATACAGTAGCAAGGCTCATCACAGGTGCAAGCAAATATGAGCACATCACGCCAACATTACGAGCACTGCATTGGCTGCCAATCAGACAAAACAAATGTCTTCAAGGTGTTGGTGTTTGTGCACAAGGCCCTTCACAACCAAGCTCCAGAGTACCTGACTGAACTAGTGACTTGGTATCAGCCATCACGGACTCTGAGATCAGCTTCTGCAAAACAAGCAGCAGTGCCCTCTACCCGCAGCGCGAGTTATGGCGATAGCAGGTCCGATGTTACGGAACGAGCTACCTGAAAATTTGAAACAAATGTCAGACATCATTCCATTCAAAAAAAGAACTAAAAACAGTTATCTTCAACAGAGCATTCGACAACGCGCCTTAGAGCAAACCTTGGATTCAGGCTCTATACAAAGGTTAACATTATTCCAGTAAAATGATGCGTTTGTAGTGATAGTTGTGATGGAAACCAAAATCGAACAATCAGTGAAAAGCACACCAATTATATCTAACATTTCCTGTGTTCGGCCATCGACTGTTCTTCATGTACATCACCATGTGTTTTGACATTTGTGCGCCAGTCCTTTTTAAATTGTTGGACACGGGTAACAACCTTGTTGTACAGAGAGTGCTTAAACATTTACTGATAACTAAACAGCTGTTGCTCCTTACTGTCACTACAGTCAGATGTACATTTGACAAGCACATATAGTCCACGCCATAAATGGGGAATTGGATTTTGTGAGGTCGCTGATTACGGTCATCTTGTCTGTCATTGATGGATATACCCTTCACATATCTACCAAAACATTTTTCCTCAGGTCTTGTGTGGAGCAACACGAAATTTTGTTTTCTATTTTGAGAGAAATGAACTTTCCTAAGCTATAAAAATGCAATACATGAAGCTAGAGAATCAATATGTCACCACAGATTGAGTCACCCTTGAACAACACTCCACAAGTTGTAATTGCATGACAGGTATCAATTTCACTCGTTGAAGTTCTCATCTTGACCTATTTACGAAGCGTGTCCCAAAAAGTTTCCGGCCTCCTTAGCTAAAATGCGATCTATATGAAAATTGTTATACTTATTTTTCAACATAACCCCCCTTCACTTCAATGCACTTGTTCCACCGTTTCTCCAGCATATTCTACCCGTCTGAAAACCAGTTTCTCACGTGACCCTAAAAACTCCTCCACAGCAGTGATGACTTCATCATCCGTCTCAAATCTGCGGCCCCTGAGGACAGATTTGAGTTGAGGGAAGATGAGGAAGTCAGAAGGGTAAGATCTGGAGAATAGGCTGGGTGAGGGAGGATCTTGAAGCCACAGTCCTGTGTAGCACTCACTGCCACTTAGGCCATGTGAACTGGAGTAGTCTTGGAGGAGCCAGACACCTCGACGCAGTTTACCTCGGCGTTTTTCTCTGAACTGATCAAGCAACCTATGCAATTCATCAGCGTAGTATGCACCATTTCTTGTAGAACCCTTCTTTAAATAGTTTCCTATGATTACGCCCTCAAAGTCCATAAAAACGGAGGTCATAACTTTGCTAATTGTCAGTTATTCACCTGACCGTCGCGGTTCGTCCTCGGTGCTGCGACTGCACTTGTAAAGTCAGCACACCACTGTTTGACCGTACTATATGAAGGAGCATTGTCACCTAATGTTTGTGTCATGTCATCATGAATTTGCTTTGGCGTAAACCTTTCTCTATGAAGATACTTCATGACAGCCCAGCATTTGACTCTCTTCATTTTGGGAGCAAATGATAGGGACATGCTGTTCGACAGCTATATATGGCAAATTATCGTACGTGGAATTCAGATACTAGTCTAGAAACATGGAGAGTTTTGTAGAGTTTGTGCGATCCATTCATGGTGAGGCCGGAAACTTTTGGAACACCCCTCGTATTCAGATCGAATCTTCCCGTATTTAGTAGCAGAAGGAACTCACGTTTCTATATTCCATTTCCGATAATGGTTAAAAAAATATTGCCAATCCTATCATTTTATTGGAACTAAACTGCGAGTGATCAGGCGTTCAGAAAATTTAAATCACAGTTAAAATTGACTATTGTCAAGGTAATCTGTTATCCCGCTGTTGTGTTTCCGCAAACAAATCCTTTAGAAATCGTTTAGATTCTGCTAGTTCCTGATTTTAATGCTAACAATCGTTATTCAGTCAAGTCATTGTGGTGAAACTGCGGATGAACAGTATCATGGAAGAGAATTGAAAGACATCCTGAGTGTGACATTGCCTCTGTCTCCTGCGTTAATGTTGGTTATTGACAGTAGTCATTCCGTACATGGATGGGGTAAAACCATTAGAGAAACAAGACGAATATCGATCTTTGTTATCTATTTTTCATGACTGCCGAACAATACGTCAACTCTCGTGTATTTGAACAGAATACGAATGTCGCTCATTTATTGATACTGACAGGTTTACCACGATAGTGTCTCAATAGACAATATCTGACATTCTGACAAAAGATACTCTTGACCAGAATGTTTGACAAATGGGATGAGTACAGTTTGCCTCCTATCATCCTTCACTTTATGTGGGACAATGTTCCTGCAGCTTCACTCTTTGTTATCTTTACTTAACAACTCGCATGATCGATCATTCGCCTTCTAAGAAGATCGCAAAGACAGTCTAAAGTTGTTTTCTTCCGGCCACAACATCGTGGCCTCAATAAAGTTTTCAACAGACGTCCGATCGCACTCCCTGTTGCAATTTATGCCATAAGTGCCTGTGTCTTGGTTGTGGCATGTGTCAGCGATGCGTGAGTGAGTGAGTGTAGTTTTACGCCGCTTTTAGTAATATTCCAGTAATATCAAGGGGGAACACCAGAAATGAGCTTCACACATTGTGCTCATGTGGGGAATCAAACCCTAGCCTTCGCTAGCAATGGGTAAGAACAGGTTCACTTATCATCATGAATAGCACCTGGCATCATCATATTTCATATTGACTGATTGATACATCATTATGATATAGTCGGAAACGAACAGTGGCTCTGTCAGGGTGCAATGTACAGTAATGGAAAACACATTTGAGTTAACTGTATCGCAGCAACAATGATTGCGGTGTCAATAATGAATTAGCAGTAATGTATTTTGACTGCATGATAGTGATGAAAAGGAAAATATTCCATTGGTACATAAATATACCAGCTCATTTATTATTAACATAATGCGTCTTTGTCTCGATTTCTTTTGGACTATAATCCAAGGGTCAATATTTCCCGCCATTCACACAATTTACAATAAAAGTCTGATTTTGTGTTGGGTTTTGAAAAGGTTGAGACACTGTCAAAGAGCACATATATTCACCAACTACTCGCTGTTCGTTAATATACGACTTGTAATATGTAGAATTTCCGTCATATAAATACGCCTTAAAACTTAAAGACTTGATACATTGTGGCAAAGTATGAATTTACGTTTGAACGTTTGAGCGTCAAATGTGTTTGAATACCATTGACCGAAACATTGCCACAATCTCGAGGCATTCTGGCCATTTTAAAAATCGATAAGGAACGTCGATTCTTTGACTCAACTCATTTATCCATGTAAATACGCTGTGTGTCCAATACTGTCCATATCTAGTAGCATCAAATATTGATATTAAACTATAGTCACACTTTTTTTCTCAAAAGAGAAAGAGTGTTATGTGGCAGTGATATTCGTTACAGTGCTCCCAGGGTACTACCACCCTATGTTGGATTACTGTTACTGAGAAGTGAATGTTACCACATGTAGTTGTCGTCACATTTATACACATTTGTAGTGATTTGAACTGATTTGAGACTTGAGTCAGTTGTAGAATAGATTGTTAACTATAGCACATATCTGTGTTTTTGTTGGTTTCGCACGTTGCTCTTTTTAACTTGGGATTCAACATTTGGCAGAAACTGAGGGCTCGTTCTGGATCACAATTTAATGTATTACAAGCGTATTTATTGAATTATTATATCAAAATTAAATTGACAACCAACAATAACTATGATTTTGCATTCTACGGAATACGTTTCTATGTTCAAAAGGTTTAAATTGGCCACATATCACGAACAGTAATCAAATCTGGTATGTTTAAGGCCGATATACAAACAAATTGAGCACATTCCTAGTTGAGAAAATCTTGTAGATGGGAATACTTTGGCCTTGATTAAAGAGAAGACAGATTAAAGTGTGGCTTTGCAGAAAATAGAAGAGGAAATTCAGCTTTAAGAAACTAAAGCTGAGAAAGAAAGAAAGAAAGAAAGGGGAGAGACTATGGGTTGAAATAGTTTGATAACCATGCTGAAAAAGAAATTAAGTTGATCTACAAAATCATCTCTTTCTCTCACTACAGGAAGGATCTGATGGCTGAAGGAAGATAAGACTTGCTTCGCCTTTCTCTAAACGTGATGTTGAAGAGTTTTTCTTACATTTCGGAAAGGTGGCTAACAATTAGAAACGATCTGAAATATCAGTGGACAATGTTGTTGCCCAAAATCCTGTGATCTCCCATGGTGATTTTCAATTTCGTTTGAGGCAGTTGGCTGTGCGTGAAGATTTTAAGCAGTGTGTTTCAAGAGACATTCAGACGTATCTTGAAGAGCAGAGTGTTACTCAGTTGCACCAGGGTTGTACTTTGGAGGAAGAATACTTGCTAGCGTATTTTTAGCTTTAGACAGAGTTTTTAGACAGGAATTCACAGGATTATAAACCAGGAAAGGATAAGTCATCATCTCCTATTGCTCCTTCAAATACTTCAAAGATCTCCTTCAAACATTTCTGAGTTTGTTGAGAAAAAGTCAGTTTCCACTCCACTAAGTTTCAATGATACTTCTGGATTTCCGTCAGAGCCTACTTGTGGACATTGTCATATCATTTCTGAGTGAAGAAAGCTCGCTTTGAAAAAGTGTCATCCTTTGCCGGTTAGCTATTGTAGATCAGTCATACAATTCTGTAGTACTTACCCTTCGTTTTGTAAAGGTTTTGTGTCAGCTAAAGGTGACAATTCCAATGTTAAGCCCTTTAACGTTTTAAGGGATACAGGTGCTCTTCAAACCCAGATTTTGTATTGTATTTGGCAACTTTCTGAGGTGTCATCAGCCCACTCTGTGATTTTGCCGAAGAGTTCGTGTGGTTATTACCAGTGCGCCTCTCCATTTTGTTGATATGAAAACTGCCTTGATAACTTGGTTGGTTCAGGTAGGGGTTGTCAAAAGTCTCCCTATCAAAGGCGTGGACTTGCTAATTGGGAATAATTTGGCATGGGGGAAAATATTTGGCATTTTGTTTCTCCCTAAGCATGGGGAAAATATCTTGGCAGATCCAGGTATATTTCTCCACTGTAGTAACTAGTGCTAAGGGTAGGCAAAATTCTTCTCAGAATGATTCCTGACTCTTTCATTGATCTTGATCCATCAAAATGTTAAAGAGAAAGAGTACTAGTACTCCAAATTGTGACAATCTGGCTGTTCAGGAACTGGTTCTGGGCATTGAGCAGTTGGTTAAGTTACAGGGAGAAGACCCCAAACTTTAAGTTCCCACAAATAGGACACTCTCTTTAGCAGACGCTGACACACAGTTCAAGTTTTCCTTTATCTCAAAGACAGCGTTTTGGTGAGGAAATTGAGACTGACAGATGTACCTGCTGATAATGATTTGGTTTGATGACAGATGATCAGATTTCCAATTTCCTTTCAAAAACATGTTTTGCGTTTGGCACATGAAACCTTTTTGGCAGATCATTTGGATCTTGTGACAAAGTTTTGCAATATCGTTTTGCTTAATTTGCTTATTTTGTGGCATCATGTGACTGAATTTTGCAAAACCTATAAAGCATGTCAAGTGGTTGACAAACCAAGTAGGAACAAATCGTTCAGTGAACCGCAACATGAAACCCATCCCAACCTTTCAAGAGCCTTTCAGCGTGCGCGGATTTCTAAAACGACCTCTTACCCATCGATCATTGCAACAACAGAATCGGTCAAGCCAAGTACGTCAGCAAGTTTGACTTTATGTGGGGCATTGGCAGATTCCACTGACAAAGTGGGCCAAGCGTTGCCGAAAATGAAACTCTTGCAAAATTGTTAGCTTTGCAGCAATGTGAAGTGCGCCTTGTTTCCAGTAGAATCATACACTGATCACAATCTATTGACAGTAATTAGGCAGTGCTTAATGCACTAAAGCTTGTCTTTTAGGAATTTGAATTAATTATCAAACATATCAAAGGCAAAGGCAGCATTATTGCTGATATATTATCGAGAGTGATCAGTTTTCACTGCAGTTATTATTTGAAGTTTGTGGAAATGTATCCCATACTTATCATGACTTATCACCATTATCAGCTATGACTAGCAGTTGTGTACTTTGATTAGCTAAAAACGTTTCACCACTTTCTCTCTCTGAAGGGGGGGCAGTGTCACGTGGCACTGATGATCATACATCCAGGTAGAATGTCAGCCAATCAGCCAAGTACCCTCCATCGAAGTCTGTCAAACATACCCTGAAGCAAATATATCCAAGAAAGCCCACGCAAGTCTAGAAAATGTGGCAAGTCTTAAGTCGCAGTGCTCCTTTTCATCATATTTTATTTCTTTTACTATGAAGTGTTTTTCCGTAAAATATGTTCATTTCAGAGACTAGATGTCAGTCTACCTGTATCCGTCATAAGTAACTTGGGCCAATACATCAGTGTCGTATCATTATACACTATCACTTACTGACCCGTGAAGATCCGGGGTAGAATAGGTCTTCAGCAACCCATTCTTGTCATAAAAGGCGACTATGCTTGTCGTAAAAGGCGACTTACGGGATCGGGTGGTCAGGCTCGCTGACTTGGTTGACACATGTCATCGGTTCCCAATTGCGCAGATCGATGCTCATGCTGTTGATCACTGGATTGTCTGGTCCAGACATTATTATTTACAGACCGCCGCCATATAGCTGCAATATTGCTGAGTGCGGCGTAAAACTAAACTCACTCACTCACTCACTCACTATCACTTACTTTGAGAAACATCCATCAAATAGCTTTCACCTTCTGGTGAGATTCCTCTCGTCCAAACATACCAATTTGATGGCATATGTTTCACCCACTGTCATGATTTCTCTTCAGGAAATATTCTTGGCGGCAAACCATCAACTGATTCACAAGGAAATGATGACGATGCAGGCACATGTATGTTTACTGATGCACAACCAACACCTTACTGGCAGGTGGACCTCCAGGATTCCTACGACGTCCACAACATCACCTTGAGAACATGCGGGGGATCATGGGGTTTGTGAAGTTATATTACATATATTTAACCAGTTTTAGCACCGGACTTCGTACTCTGAGAACAGCTTCTTTCGTACATATGTTCGTTGTTTTCCGCTGCACTAATCACTAATTATATGACAGATGTCTATAACTATCAAATATTCACCGGGAAGTCCGGTGATTGACATCATGAGCATCGACCTATGGAATTAGGACACGATGACATGCGTTAGTATCACCAGATCGCACTGTCTCTGTGGGTGAAAGGGATGAAGTAAACTTTAATGCAGAAGATTCATTTAAATAAGGGGTCTCATATATACACTTTGGCAAGCGTTAATGTTGGTTCATTTTTTCAAAACAAAGACAATCGTTCAAAAGAGTTGTAATGATTGTGTCAGATGAAAAATATGTCTGCAGATCACAAGCGACACCCCAATACAAGGAGTGTTCCTGTCAACTGTACAAGTGATACGGGGGAACACAGAGGAACGTACACACTGGCAGCAGTGTTGTATAGGGGGGTATTGAGTCCTTTTTTGACAGGTGACCTACTTAATTTGATGAGTTTGATTAATGAGAATTTAATCCCTCTCACATGACCTCATACATTGGTTGCTTATGATACCTATGAATAACATTTGATATAAAAGTAAATATTTTGTTTATTACTATACTGTAATAGGATAGGATAACGAATTGATATCCACTGATATCGTTCTTAGCCATCAGAGTATGGATCCCGTGAGGGGCATATCTTTATTTGATGACGTGTGGGGGATTAAAAGGTCATTCATCACTCATCGTTTTAAATAGGTCAGCTGTCAAAATTCTGCCAAAATCAAAATGGTATTCATAGGTATAATTAGCAACCAATGTATGAGGTCATGTGAGAAGGATCAACAACTCATTAATCAAACTCATCAAATTAAGTCGGTCACCTGTCAAAAAGGACACACACACACACACACACACACACACACACACACACACACACACACACACACCTATACAACACAGCAGTACGTTAATCCCCCTTTTGAATTCATGTAGGCCGGACACTTTCACCTTATGTATAGGCCATTAAACGTTGAAAGACGGTGTACCAGCGTAAGTTTGGTGGTTTTGTTTCTTAGAACATACTGTTAACAGAAACATTAAGTACAACTATTTATATATAAACGTTTGAAAGCATACAAATTTCCACGATTATGTCACTATAATTCACACACACACAAACACACACACTAATATAAGTATGAATAGAAAGGTGTGTAAGCAAAAACCATCCATGTTATCTTACGTTTGCCAGCCATCCAGAGCACTTAAATTTCCATTTTAGTCTCACGTACAGGGCAGTGTGATATTTACTACCCATCAAATGTTTAAACTCACTTAAAGCACTCACTTAATGTTATATATGTGTGTATATATGTATATATATATATATATATATATATATATTTTGTGGTATTCGCTAAAATTAACGACTTTGTACCAACCAGTTTCATTCCTCCAAGCCTGAAGTACTTTTTTGTTCAGTATATGTATGTAAAATGCAAAATAGCATATATAGAGTAGTGTTGTTTTGATTATCTCTTTACCTTTGCCACAAGGGTACAATGTGCGAAAAGCCCATTTCTGGTGTCCCCGCCGTGATATTGTTGGAATATTGCTTAAAGTGGCGTAAAATCTGATCATTCACTCACTTTTTACAGTATCTATTTGAAAAGAAGTCCTCTGCCAAAATGTGAATAACAGAATGATGTAGCATATGTTATAATTGGGATTACACCTTCTTAGTGAAGACCCAATCGTCAGTAACCCATGCTCGTCGTAAGAGGCGACTAAAGGGATCGGGTGGTCAGGATCGTTGACTTGGTTGACACATGTCATCAGTTCCCAATTGCGCAGATCGATGCTCATGCTGTTGATAACTGGATTGTCTGGTCCAGACTCGATTTATTTACAGACCGCCGCCTAACCCGCACAGCCAACCAGCTAACCCGTTTAGTGGAAGTCGCGGTGGCTGAGCGAGTAAGGCGGCTGACTTGTTGTTGGCGATTAGGTGCCTGACTGTGAGGGTGTGGGTCGAATCCCAGATGGGACTCAACACAACAAAAGTATAAGAATCTGTACTTTACTAAGAAAGTGCAGTCCCAAATATGACATATGGTACATTTCACCACTTTCCAAATGATATTTGTTAAATCATAACAAAAGGATGAATCATACGTTTCCACACACAGGATGGAAAACCAGGTCAGTTCAGATCTGGACCTACTTCAGCAACCCTGACCAGTGTCCAGGTGCTGTCGGCTTTCTCTATGGAACAACACCAGCAGGCACGGGAGAATCCGAGACTCACGTGTTCCACGCCACACCTACATACCCAGTTCGGTACATTCGACTTGTTGCCACAACACAGCCAGACCTTGGTTTGGAGGAAGCGTTGGCCATGGGGACTCCCACAACAGGTGTACAGGTACCCCTGTGTTCAGGTACGATATCACCCACTCACTTTCAAGCCATATTCTTGCAATGTTGTCTTTTGTTTTCCATGTGAGCTCCAAGTGTTATACATCTGCAGTGTGGACGGAATGTAAATAATTTGCGAGGGTATTCGTCATTGCAGACACGTGAAATAACGCATGTAGCGAACTACCTCTACCCATACACCTGACTAACTGAGAAGAAAGTAAAAGTTATGTAAACACAATCACTCAATCACAGAAGTCAACCCATGAAGATCCGGGTTAGCATTGGTCTTCAGCAAGCCATGCTCGTAAAAGGCGACTAACGGGATCGGATGGTCAGGCTCGCTGACTTGGTTGACAAATGTCATCGTATCCCAGTTGCGTAGCTCGATGCTCATGATGTTCATCACTGGATGGTCTGGTCCAGACTCGATTATTTTCAGACCGCCGCCACATAGCTGGAATATCGCTGAGTGCAATTAACAACAAAGAAACCTCCTTGACATGGATGATGCTTGTCTTATCGCCAAGGGAGAATCTGTTTCTTCAGTGTGGATTCGCCGGTTGTCGATCTTTTCTCCGATGCCATTGGCATTTCCACAAGGCTCCACAAATACAGTATTCTTCATCTGCACTGTGGCAAGTTAGACGAGGGAGGATCAGTCAGTTTACTTGGTGGAGAAGTTGCTGACCATCTTTTGGAAATTAGGGAATCAACTTAAGAGTGGAATGCAGGATATGGACAGAGAAGAGAAATGTATTTTGTTAATAGCTTAACGCATGCAATACAGTCAATCCACGAATACTATTGTGCCCGTCCTTACATATTTTTGTAATGATGATGATTGGAAGAGACAAGAAATTCAAGATATTGACACCCTCACACGAAAAATCATATGGGAACCTCCCAGCCTCGCTCTTCCTTGAATTAACCACCAGCCAGAAACAACAACTACGGGGACCGGTCTAACACATCTCATGTAGTTGTTGACAAGTTTATGGAGGTGAAACATCCAAACCCCTCACATCCCGAATCAAAGAGCATAAGACCTCAGTATTAAAATCTCCAGCTCAGCCTTATCAGACCATATCCAAGACAACCCCGACCACAGCACCCAAAACACCATTTAAGTAAGGGGGAAATCGCCAACCATCCAGATAAGAAAACCGCGTCAACAAAGTTCCATGCAATTCTTGACAGGTTTATGTAGGTGGAACATCAAAACCTCTCACAAAACGACCAGGAACGCAGTGTCAATTGTAGCAAATAACCGCAAAACAAACAATCGCTATTTCCTTTATTTCTTTGTTACAGTGGATTGGCCAGTTTTCGAATGTTGGTAAATGGTTTGAATCGCTTTATCACATACACTCTGCATGTTTAAAACAGTTTACAATGTTCGTTTTCTTTCAGAGGAAAGAAGTCCACATGTATGAGAACGACAATCAATTATATCAGTTCTTCTATAAAGTATCCTTAATCTGTTTAATATAAGGGTGATTTTAATAGGCTGGACTGACACCAAATCATTATGCTCTTTCTTTAGTTCTTCCCACACTTGCTCTGTGTGTGCTGAGCTCTTATCCAGTATAAGGCAAGGATCTCAAATGCGTCTAGGCAGTTTCTCCTAACGCTTCTGTGACATATCTCCAAACATCAGCTTAGAAAGTTGAAGACTGCTTTGTCATTACCTTCACTTCGTATTGGTGACAGAGACATCCTACCATCAGAAAGTGTCCGGAATCTTGGTGTCATCCTTGATTCCAACATGTCCATGGATGCACACATCACCTCCATCAGTAGAGCCTGCTACATCCATAACATCAGCAAACTCCGCCACTACCTTGATACTGACACTTGTAAACTTCTGAAGCACTGTCTTGTCACTTCCAAACTCGACTATTGTAATTCACTATATGCCAACCTCCCAAATAAATCACTCCAGAAACTACAAAGAATCCAAAATTCTGCTGCCAGATGTATCACCCACACTCATCGTCATGACCATATCACCCCAGTACTACAGTCTCTACACTGGCTCCCCATCAAGAATTACCTTCAAAATCCTCACTCTGACTCATGACTGCCTCTACAATGATAACATTCCTGACTATCTCAAACATCTCATCTCTGTGTATGTACCTCAGCGAAGTCTCCGATCCTCTCTCCTAACCCAACACAGATCTCCAAACCAACTGTCTGGCCGAGCCTTCTCCTTTGCCAGCCCTAAACTGTGGAACTGTCTTCCAAAGGAAATCAGGAACACTTCATCAAAAGAAACTTTCTCTGCTAAAGACCCATCTATTCACTGCTGCCTTTCTGTAAAGTTATATGAACTATTTCCTTCACCAATATTGTCACAGCGCCACTGAGCATCTCCATGGTGGATATTAGGCGCTTTATAAATACATTATTATTATTGTTATTATGTTTTACAGATTAAAGATGAAAATGCAGCAGAGAGGGTTCGGGTGATCCTGGCACAGTCAGGCTGGTAAGGCTCATCATCAGCTCAGGGCCCTAGCCCCCTCTACACGCAGCCCAGACAGCGAATGGGACTTCTCCCAGGAAACACTGCCTAGTCGAACCAACCAAGAACTTTCCGGAGAATATGAAGGCTCCCCAACACTGCAGCCTTCTGCATTTAGAGTATTAGAGATTGTCTCCCGTGGAGAAGGGCACTCTGCTCCCGGTGGAGAACCCGGGCACCGAGAACAATGGGGAGCCTGACGACAGTGTACTTGGGATGCAAGCGAGACATTTCAAAGGCGAGGTCCGCATATTTATCATGCTTTTCCTGAATCTTGCCAATCACATTGCTGTCAAAAGGGACAGACAATGCAATGATATAAATAAATTCATTGGCTTTCTCAAAAAGGACAAGATCAGGTTTGTTGGCTGGAATTCTTCTGAGGCTGTATATGGGCCTATTCCAGAGAAGTTTGAAAGCATCATTTTCCATGACGCCCTGGACATGTTCAGGGTCCTACCATGGATGGTAACAATAACATTCTATCATGAAGAGCCTCCACATTAATCAAACCCGAGCTCCGGTAGAACTGATTGGCATATATAAACGATTGAGAGAGGAACGAGGGTGGTGGGCTCTGTTATCAGACATGATCCTTCTGGTCAGGCGGTCAAGAATCTGGATGTGTTGTTTTGTCCAATCAACTACTCCAAGGAAATAGAGGAGAGGGACTGGCACGACAAAGGTATTGGTGGCGTTGACCTTGTTTCGAGAGCATTTAGCTCTGAGTTCCGGAATTTCTTTAAGCAAGATTCATACTCGGCCTGAAGTTTTTCTTAAATCTAGGCATTTTGAAGCTTGTGTCGAACTTGCATTCCATGATAGGTGTATGCCTGATCTTCCACAAGATGCTCAATAACTCCTCCCCTGTAACCTGACCGATCCATCATTAACTACCTTGCCACGTTTCAAATGAAGAGTATTACATTTGTCGAGGCCAAATGTCATACCAATACCATTAGAAACGCACTCCGGGATTATTACTAAAAAATATTTATTATTGTTATTATATTACTATGCAAAGATTGAATAAATCAGTTTTGTATAAATATAACTTGATCTTAACATCACCTACATGTTTTATATGCATTGTCTATATTGTTTCCTGGTTTACTTTTAGTCTCCAGGTTTTCAGCAACTCCAGGGAAGAAGGTACAAACTGCTTTGGCCTCCAAAACTACTCAGTCAGCCACTGATTGCGCGGTCAGATGTCACATGACTCGGACCTGCCTCGCTTTCAGCTTCAATCCTTCTTTGACAGAAGACAACTGTTTCCTCGCCCACTGCCCAAGTACAACCGACGAGACTGGTTGGACTGCCTGGATTTTGAATCCGGTGTCTAATACATAGCTGAACTGTAGAAGCAAGATGGCTGACTTTGTGAAGTTGTCAATGATGTAAATGAGTGAGTGAGTGAGTTTAGTTTTACGCCGCACTCAGCAATATTCCAGCTATATGGCGGCGGTCTGTAAATAATCGAGTCTGGACCACACAATGCAGTGATCAAGAGGATGAGCATCGATCTGCGCAATTTGGAACTGATGACATGTGTCAACCAAGTCAGCGAGCCTGACCACCCGACCCCGTTAGTTGCCTCTTGCGACAAGCATGGGTTGCCGAAGGCCAATATTCTAACCCGGACCTTCACGGGTCAATGATGTAAATGTATTACAATGGACAAGGAAATGGTGTGGCACCACACGCCACTTTAACCAGCTCCAGTGCCGACGTCCGCATAGACTGTCGAGTAAACATGTCCAATGCTCTTCGCCCAAAACTGCATGTAGCTTTAGAAACATTAGAAATACTAATGCTGAAATCCTTTTATAATGATATAATTCTCAGTTGTTCCTTTTCAAAATCAGTTGGACTGCTCTTTTTGTCTGCTCGGTGCCTGTGGCCAATAAGAGAATTATGCATCTCTCTTAATCAATGTGATGTGTGGTCCTGTGCATAGAGTTCAGATCACAGATCAGTCAAAATTAGCTGCGATAGGCGCAGGAGGTCTTGGGTGGGGACCGTGGCAGCTTCCAGGACTTCAGTCCTGCCCCACAACGAAGCCCACGTGATACATGTGGTCTCACATTAGGCAAGTGAGTTTGTTCAAAATTGCATCTGTTCATCCAGCAGAAAAATGGGTACCCGGTAGGTCATGTGACCTAAACCTTGGGTTACCCGGGTAATAATATAACAGGGGCGGATCCAGAGGGGTAACGGGGTGCATCCCACCCACCCATCCCCCACCACCTCCCCAAATAAATATTCCCAGGGAGCATTCTAATTTGGACTGTCATGATATATTTGCAAAGCCCAGCGTTCGCTTCCAACTGTTTGTTCAACATCTGATATTTTAAATATGAATCCTTCGTTTCCGAAAGATCCAATTTTATCCCAAATCAATTTCTACAATGACCGAATCTCTTAAAGATTGCGAAGCTACTTTTTAGTTAGATAGTTTTTAAAAAGCTCCAAATAAACATCTAACTTGTAACATTTACGCTTTTTGAATTTGTTATACTATATCTTTGTTTACGTATCATGAATGATTTCGATGTTTCCTTGTACATCCTTGCTATCTTGGTATTTATTGTATCTATTTGCATTGATTTGTCTCGTGTACCACTCTTGATGGGTTACAATAAATAACAAACCAAGCCCAATCTAGTCTGTAAACACCTCAGTATTTGTACATCTCTGGCTTCCACGCCATTCCTTTGTCAACTCACTGGCTTCATCAGCTTGCTGCCTAGCCAAATATGTTAATTATGCTGTTTTCATTGTTACATTGGTACACTGAGTATATATACACACCTCTCTCCGTGTTCTATTCCTGATTGATAACGGTACAAGAATATGTACATATAACGTCGTACTCACGAAATAAAAGAAGCTGTTATCTATAAAGTTTATTCTATATTCTAATTCCCAACTTATAAAATACCACTCAAAGAAGTTATATTGGTGGGTTTTCGAGGATTAATGATGATGATGATGATGATGATGATACAGTCAATGAGGACTGTCAGGAATGTCATTGCAGCTGACAGAGCGTAAACCAGATATTGACATTGCGCTCGGTTATTGATGCGTGTGTTATTTCTTGAGGATTGTGTGCCAGAATCTTGAAAATGGACCCACTTGAGTCATTCTTATTGCAGCGTTTGATTCCCTGAATAAACTACAGTTCATCCAGGTTAGTTCCGTTTTGCCTTTTAATTATTTCTTGATTATCACTTTATCCAGATAGTAGGTTAAATTGATGTTGGATAAGTTTGTTGGTAACATATTGATACTACTGTAATAAAGCTTTGGACCTGTTTAATCTTCTAAGCTCTGTGGTTGGCCTGGGCTAATTATGATACCAAGAAGTTGATTTCGGGGAATAGCTGCGGACCACATATCATAAAATTACCAAGGAAAGCATGTATTATGGCCATTCTTTTTTCGGTACAAAGAGGTACAACGAACATAGGTCACAGTTTGCACCATAGATACTCTCAGAGGTCATGATATGGTCGCACTTTATTTGGTTGATTACAATGCTGATAATCGACAGCGATATCCGAACCCTTTTTTTCTTCTTTTTTATGAGACTTACCTTGCAGGTTAGAATACATGAGTATGCTGAAATGGCTGAAATTACCTCAATAAGACTTTTCTCGGAGAGCGTGTTATCTTAGAGTTATATTTACTTCTCTCCTGAAATACAGTTTTAACGATTATTACATAACGCTTATCAACTTGGTAACTTGTATATCGAAACCGACTGATTATAGACTTGGGACTGAACATGCATGTAGTCTTAACACTTACCACAAAACGCTTATTAGCTTACAACTGGGGAATGAAGGCCAGGGTATGTCAGCGCCGATTCAGATAGACTTTTAATGGTCACATTACTGAATTATATCCATACAATATATTGTTTAGTCATGTTTTATAAAGTCACGACTATTTATATCATATAGGAGAACCACTCGTCCTTTGTCCATGAGCACTTGTTGCATCGCCAATTTAGCTGACTACGACCAGTAGCCATATCAGTCAGGAAATCATCTTGCAAACCCCACTTGTTGCCGAAGTTCTAGGGCGGTTCTGTAACCCCTGCTCGATAGGCAATCACGTCGTCAAATCCATTTTATCCAATGCTTCTCAAAGACGCAGTAGATACAATTTTTTGTCAGCTAAAAGCGAAAACAAGATAGACTAATCAAGTCACAAGAACTGATTACTCGGAGCATGCGCACATCTCACATGATTCCCATAATACGGAATATTGAGGTGGAATTTGGCGTTTTTGGAACTGTGATATTATCAGTCACATAATCATAATACTATCTGAATTGTTTACTCCTTCCTGAAGGTCACAAAGGGCGGTGCAAAGGTGTGAAGGGTGTAGCCAAGTGGTTAAAGCGTTCAAATTTAAATGGACATGTGAAGGTGTGAAGCCCATTTCTGGTGTTCCCAGAATGTAAACATGGAATGATTCTTTTTATATCATGAATAGAATGATAGGTTTTGCATGAGCCAGGCTAAATTTAAATGGATCTTGTGAAACGTAAAAGATGTAAACAGGTTTTGATCTCGTTTGCCATGAAACTGCTCAATTTCCTAAATGGAATTCAATTGTCTTTGAAAAGAAGCTAAAAGATTTCAGTGTCACCCCCATCTTAGCAGGTGCTACTGAAGCTGCTTTTTCACAACGGTTTGTGGAATTATCATACCAGCTCACGCAGAAAGATATGATGATCGTCCAAACAAAAACAAGCAGCAAACAAATCACAAAAACAAATGTGAAAACAATTTAAAAGTCATACATATATTTGGTTTAATGTTTCTACCAAACGACATTTCCTTAGATCGTCTCACACGCGCAGTCACGAACTGTAGCAGCATAGCCCAGTGAATTGAACCTTATAGGATGCTGGGGCCCAATATTGCAGCAAGGAAAAATGTATCACCTTTCTCGAGCAAGGCACTTCTGAGATTTTGTCTAATTGACATAACTTGGACACTCCAGTAAATCATGTTGATCAGCTTCATGCGTCTTATCGCTAAACTGGTCACAAAGAGGTAATACCTCCCGATCAACAAAACACTTGTGTAGGCATTTAGTGCACAGGCACCAAGACGAAATCTAATAAAAACAACGTCATCCCACCTCTTACGACGGCAAATTTTACTGTTTCTTGTTTTTTCAGAATGACAGAGTCAGTACATATGTCCTCCAGAAGATCCAGCATCCCACAAGTTTTGCCATTTCGCGGAGACTAATTTAACAAAGGCCAATCAAAATCTACTCGACAATGCCTAAATTCAAAATTATCAACCTCATCCTTCAGCAATCGTGACCTAGCAAGATAACATGCCTTTTATGGACCCTGCAAAGCGACATGAGCTACCCGGGTATACCCCATACAAAATCACGAAATATATTTAGTATTCAAAATTGTATTTAGTTTCAAATTTCGCGACAGATGAACTAAACACCTCGGAGAGATTAACTAAGGATCCAAAAGCTCCAGCAAACAGAGATCATGGAACAATCCTTGGAGGCGTCAGTATACATGTGTGTAAAATCAGTATATCGTTCACGTACAAAATCCCCCAGAATCGCTCTCACTACAGTTGGATTCATATCCACCTTAACGATGAAACTGAGTTCATTGCACAGTCATGACTCAAGGAGAAACCAAGGAGCAGTTTCAGAAGGTGTAGATGGATTTACTGGATTCAAGTGAACAGCTCCATGTTGTGCTACCAATTTCAGAATGTTTAGACCGAACGGGATCTTGCCATGAGATCAGTCGCACGACATACTCAACACAGTCAGTAAATATAACTGTGACTGAATCACAGCCTTTATCTTCATGATGTATATATGGGAGATCTGTCTACGTCTAAGGAACAAAGGCATGTCAGAACACTCAACCTGAAGACCCCGAGACTGGAGCCGTTACAAAGGCACCAGCTGAAGTTCTAAGAGATCAAGATTGAATGCAATCAAGTTTAATGAGATGATTTTTAGCAGACTTGTCGACTTTGCAGCAATAGTCGATTCTCTGTAGGATAAGTGTATTAAACAGCAATAATATGGTAGATTTATCAGAACCCCATTGTGTTCTAAACAAACACTTCAATAGATTAATAACACTCTTACAAAGGTTGCCAAGATTGGACATTCGTTTTGCCCATGGTAGTCTCTGATCAAAATACACCCAGGAATTTGAACTCTGCTACTACACACAGGTAATCGTTCCCACGAGATAACTCAATTTGGAGGAAGTTTCTGGCGAGTGATCATCATTGCCAATTTTTTTAAAGGGATATTTTGAAACCCCATTTTGAACACCAAACACAAACTGATTCTGTTACAAAACAAACCAAATCGTCTCAAGAACGAAACATCATCTGCAAACTGAGCAGTGTCGACTTTAACAGGTGGTTCGATTATCAAGATAAAAACGAAACTGGTCTAATTACAGTTCCTTGTGGAGTACCAATGTGCATGATTTGCATACCAGAAAGTTTTGCCCAAATACGAACCCGAATGACGTTTTCAGAGAAAAATGATTGATTACCTTTTATTCAAACCTCTACAAACAAAAAGTAACCCGAATCACATTGTATGTTGGAGGAGTTATGGACCCTGGATGAATTCAGTGCATCAGGTAGTTGAGTGAGTGAGTATGGTTTTACACCGCTTTTAGCCATATTCCAGCAATATCAGGGCAGAAAACACCAGAAATGGGCTTCACACATTGTACCCATGTGGGGAATCGAACCTGGGTCTTCACCCCACCGCCCCATGTAGCTGAGACCCAAGTGGGAAGCCCTGAGACCCTGAGTGAGATAAAGATATAAAATTGGGTTTAATGGCCAGTTTAAGATTGTCTACCCATGAAGAACTGGGTTAGAATATTGATCCTCAGTAAGCCATGCTTGTCGTAAGAGGCGACTAACGGGATTGGGTGGTCAGGCTGGCTGACTTGGTTGACACACGTCATCAGTTCCCAATTGCGTAGATCGATGTTCATGCTGTTGATCACTGGATTGTCTGGACCAGGCTCGATTATTTACAGACCGCCGCCATATAGCTGGAATATTGATGAGTGCAGCGTAAAAATAAACTCACTTTAAGAGTATCTCATGTATATAGCCATGTGTGTGTCCAGACTTGACTGGCTTGAGAAAGTTTGTGGGTAGGCAAGTTGATCCACCGGACCGAGTGAGATGGTAGGAGGTACTGAGTGAGAGGGCAGAAGGGACTGTATAAGTAGGTATGCATCTGTTCTGAACATGGTTACGGGCAGAAACTTTTCCTGAGGATGGGTTCTGGTTCAGAATCTGATCGTACAAGAGCTTGAAAAATTGACAAATGATCTGGGAACTTGGGGGCATAGAAATGTCCAATGCAAAATAGCATCAGGTTCTATTAGAATGGGCGCGTGAGTGAGTGAGTGAGTGATTTAAGATTTATAGTCACATCAGCAATATTTCAGCCATATAATGACCATAACAAATTACATATTCATATTAAATACAATTAAATTATAAAAAAACTGTTGACGAAGGACAGTAAAATAACTAGATTATCACCAATAGGATTTAGAACTAGCATGTAACTGTAAAATTTCATTAGTATGGAATCGCTGAAGGCTTCCATAAGCATGTACAAGTGACAGGTTTCAGAAAGAAGAAAGGAAGAGGTTCATTGAACACACAATACTCAGTCAGCAGAGCTCAAGTATAATCAGTCTTGTTCTTCTGAGAGTATCTTTATTTCAAAATGGTTAGTACATAGCACTGTTGAAGGTAAATAGTCAGCCCATGGAGTAAGCATACAGCCTCTTGTATCAAATGTTGTTACAACGCTAAGTGTGTTACTGTCATGATTGTTTTACTTCAAAGGACATGTTTGTCTTCCAACATCAAGAACATAGCAGAAAGAGAGTGTCGGCTATGACTATGTTAGCATGGAATTGTTCTAATATTGTCAACACTGGATTTTATGTATAAAAACAAGAAAATGGGGTACAGAAAACGATTAAACAAAACGGTGTAGTTATGCTGACTCAATAAGCACAAAATCTCAACAAAATGTTTGTAGATACCAATGACAAGTGCTGTACCCTGATTCTGTCTAAACCACATTGTTTAATACATCCATGATGTTATAAGGAAACATCCAAAATAGTCTTGCAAATCACAAACATGGCTGTACAAACATGACTACAGGCTAAATCATTAATTCCAAAATGTTAATCAGTGTTGACTTATATGAAGATTGTTTGAGATTCTATAGCTTGTTATATCATTCAGGTAACAATGGTAACCATGGACATTTATAACTGTAGATTGCCATTGGCAACTGTAGATAGCCAACATTGGCAACTGTTGATAGCCAACATTGGCAACTGTTGATAGCCAACACTGATAACTGTTGATTACCAATCTGTCATTTGTGATTAGCACAGAATCTCACGCTGGATACACAGAACTTACCTTGGATCAGTGGTGACATTAAAAATAAAAGATCTGAAAACAATAACAAAGCATTCAATTGAACCAAAGAAATGTTTCAGTGTCTCTGCTCTACACTGTGCAGGTTGGATCTCACTATGGGTTGATACATGTCACCATGACTTAGTGTTGGATGTAGGTGGTACAACAATAGATCTGGGGTTGCACTAATCTTTTCTAGCATTGACGATAGTGACAAAGTCTGGCTTCAAGGATGCTCCGCCCACAAGGAAACCATCAACATCGGGTTTGGCTGCCAGTTCCTTACAGTTGCCAGCATTCACAGATCCTGAAATCGAAACCCAAATATTTATGATAATATCAGTTATAGGGTCTGTAAGTCTCGCAAGGCACTATTCGGGTACAAAAGCTGGCTCCCCAGCTCCCTTTGCGTGCACAAACATGCGATATGCGAGACGGGGCCCTGTTAACCTCCACTACCAAATTTCCGGTGACAAGCATATATTCAAGACCAGTTCTGGTTCCAAATTGAGCGACCGCCAAATATTACTTTACTAGACCAGACCAAGGGTACTTTGTCACCGGTCTCGCGAAGTGCCTTGATCTTCTTACGGGCCCTATAGCGCACAATTCAAGACAGTACACATTATCAGGATGTTCCTGTTGAGACAAAACCTTAAGCTGGAGCAAGCAAGCAAGTTGGCTTTAACACCGGGCTTAATGCTTTGAACAGCATTCCAGTAATATCATAATGCATTTATCTGCAAGAAATATATCTTGACAGACAAAATATGAAAGAAATTTCTCAGGGAGCGTGTGAGTACAGTTTTACGCAGGTTTTAGCAATATTCAAGCAATATCGTGGCGGTACTTTCTCAAAGAGACATCAAAATGTGCACAAGTATGACTTGTGTATACTGGTTGAGATGCACATGGGGAAAAAATGACTCCTTGTCTTGTTTGAAGTCTCTCTCGGATTTCTATAGAATCTTACATTCAATAACATTTAAACAAAACTAAAATTACAAGTGATGCCTTTCTTGTGAGCATTTTGACATTGTTGCAAATATTTGGCAGGAAACCCACACCAGGTATCTGTATGGTAGTGTTGCGATGGCGTGATGAGTTCCTACCTCCATACTGTATTCTGACATTCTGAGCAACTTCAGGTGAGACGTTATCGGACACCCACTTCCGCAAAGACTGATGCACCTCCTGTGCCTGCTCTGGGGAGGCTGTCTTCCCAGTGCCAATGGCCCACACAGGTTCGTAGGCAATCACCACTCGGCTCCAGTCACTTCCCAGTACATTATCTGACAATAAAAACACATCACAGGATTATCAGTGGGAGAGACAAATACTGTAACCATGGTAACAAATGATTATTTTGACCTACGTTAGCTTTGATTAAGAAAGCTGAGTTTTGAAACAAAACTAAGAGCTATTTTATCACATTACATCTTTATATGGTCGGTGTCATTAAACACAAGTACAATACCAGAACCCAGTAAACTTTTAATAAGCTGAGATGATAACAATCCACATATGAATGAGTGAGTGAGTGAGGTGGGTTTAACAGTGTTATAAACTGTAGCCCAGCTACCATCAGGACATGTCAGAAACACAACTGGGGTGAATCAGGAAATTCTAACCCCCCAATCACATGTTTCTGAGATGATCAGGGGACAAAACCCTGCACAGTGAACTTTGGTGGCTTTGACACCTGGTCCAAGTGAGAAGCAATTGGCCAAACTCCTTAATGCTAGAAGCATGAGGCTGCAAAGGGAGGATAGACTTATAAGTGTTTGTAGACACAATGGACTTAAACTTTATTTATATCAAGTTCTATATCGCTTTTAAAAAGTAACAAAAAGTTAAAACGATGTATTCAATGACTTCTTAACTGATATGATAGGTTCTAAATGTAAAATGATGTTTGGCTGTTCTTAATTTTGCGATTTTCCTGCTTCTGTGTTCTAATCTAAGCATGATTCCCTTACAACAATAAACCGTTCACAAATCCATATATAGATTATAGACTGCTGGAACACCACAGGCTTTGTCACTTGCAATGTCCTCAGAGTGCTTTAACACCTCATTTTGTGTCACTTGCAATGGCTTTAGTCTGTCTGAACACCATGTGTTGTGTACCTGCTATAGCTTTAGTCTGTCTGAACACCATGTGTTGTGTACCTGCTATAGCTTTAGTCTGTCTGAACACCATGTGTTGTGTACCTGCTATAGCTTTAGTCTGTCTGAACACCATGTGTTGTGTACCTGCTATAGCTTTAGTCTGTCTGAACACCATGTGTTGTGTACCTGCTATAGCTTTAGTCTGTCTGAACACCATGTGTTGTGTACCTGCTATAGCTTTAGCCTGTCTGAACACCATGTGTTGTGTACCTGCTATAGCTTTAGTCTGTCTGAACACCATGTGTTGTGTACCTGCTATAGCTTTAGCCTGTCTGAACACCATGTGTTGTGTACCTGCTATAGCTTTAGTCTGTCTGAACACCATGTGTTGTGTACCTGCTATAGCTTTAGTCTGTCTGAACACATGTTGTGTACCTGCTATAGCTTTAGTCTGTCTGAACACCATGTGTTGTGTACCTGCTATAGCTTTAGTCTGTCTGAACACGTGTTGTGTACCTGCTATAGCTTTAGTCTGTCTGAACACCATGTGTTGTGTACCTGCTATAGCTTTAGTCTGTCTGAACACCACATCATTGGTCTGCCCTGCCTCTCTCTCATCCAGTTTCTCCCCAATACAGGCGATGACATTCAGACCCTCTGACAACGCAAACTTCACCTTCTCCCCGATCAGCTGCAAGAAGGAAGAACAAGCTAGGGTCAAGAGTTATGTCAGTCATGAGTGCCCATACCCTCAAGTCAGCAGCCTTCCACCCTCATCCTGGTGAGCCAACAAGTCAACAATGGGCCTGGAAAATGTGCAGCTGACAGCATGATTACGCTAAGACATGCTAAAGCGTGAAGATTTCTTAACAATTTAAGATGCAAAGTAGTTATACTATCAACATGAAACACAGAGTACCATAGACAGGAAAAACAACAGGTCAACACATTACGAGACATTTCTACATATCTATAATTCTGGATAGGATCTGTCTTTAACATGGTTAAGATGTTTCTTACAACGGTCATAGGTTACTGAGGGGATAACTGCTAAGTCTGTACTCGAAAGGACACACTGAAAAATCTGGTAAGCCTCTTACATGTATTCAGTGTGAAGACTTCTACACGAATTATACCTACTTCATCTGACTCCCCAAACACGTGCCTTCTTTCAGAGTGGCCCAGAATAACCCACGTAGCTCCGACATCTTTAATCATGGAAGGACTGCAAAGGAAATGCAACATACCACATATTATTCTTTAAAGTAAACACAACACGGTAACAGTGACACATGGAGCACTGGTCAACATAAAGGGAGAGAAATCAACCATGTTTTCAGTTCAAACCTGTACTCAAATATGTTTAACTGAATATTTTTGTTTGTTTAATGGTTCGATAGTCATTTAATGCATCATTCGGTAAAATTTCGGCTTCAAATTGGTGGATTGTAAATATTATAATCAGGACCGGACAATGCATTAACTCATATTGTGCAATTAATCACATCATTGACTCTGCCAGCCCGCTATCCATCAGACTGCCTCTCACCAGCACAGGTTGCAGGTAACCTACTCAGTAACCCAGAATACGAACACAGCAAACATGGTAAACTTTGTAAAACTGACTGAACTGGATATAAAATTGTTTTTAACATCCTAATCTGTTTGTATTTTTATTGCCTTTGGTACATTTCATAAACAGTATGTCTGAAATAAAAACGAACTACAAGACCATGATAATATTTAGGGCTGCTCAATATAACCGGTTCAGACATGAAAACGATACGTATTGCGATAAGCTGATCAAAAACCGGTATTTTGACTTGCATTCATAAAACATCGTAACCCTCGGAAATCTTTGGATATTTTCTTGTTTCATTTGTGCCACATATTATTTACATTTATATTTTGTCATGATTAAAAGTTTCTAATAAAGCTAAATCAAGCATTGTGATTTTGTTGTGTTCATGCTTTATAAATCAAGCATTAACGCGATTATAAGTAGTTTGTTGTTTAAAAATACTTCTTGCAATATATTGCAATACATATTGCAATATATGCTTTCGCATCGCAATATATCGCAATATGAAAATTCTCTGCAATACCCACCCCTAATAATATTGCACTGTAATATTTGATGTCAAATAAAGCCTCTTGTATATTGTCTCCTGTTGTGACAGCGCACATCTCCCTGACATTGAGGAAAGCTTAACATGAGGCACATCTTAGCCAATTAGACAAACACAATTTGGTTGAAACAAAATCAGAGTGAACAGGGATTCGAAATCCATGATCACAGGTTTAAAGGCCGGGGCGCACACCTCCAAAACCCCTGTGGGTTTCCAAATAGTCTCCCATTTGCTACTCCTCAGCAGTGAAGATGTTATCAGCCCGTGAGTGACAATATTGTTATGGCTGTGGGTGCCTGGCAAGAGCCTGGTAATGTGAAAGGTTAACCTTGGAATTTACTACTAGAATAAACATGTGCCTTATAGTAAATGTCCAACAACCCTTTCACTATATATTTTGATGACTAAAGAGATTAATTTGATTAGCATAGATGAAACACCAAATTTTACTCATATTCCGAATATACAATCTTCAGCAAAGAGATGTCAGCATCAGATAAGTGTACATACAACCCTAGCCCTGCACAGCATAGTGTCAGGGGAGTGGGGGGGTCATTTTCCCAGCCTGCCTGAAACATTTACCCCACTCCAAAGCTTGTTTCTATGGAAACGTAGCTTCTCTGGCCACCTGACTGACAAAGTGGGAAATTCAAATCTGGATTTGAAAATGAGAAATATATTTTCAACATGTATGTTTTGAAGACTCTCTGCATCCATACTTTTTGTTGTGAGTCTTCATAACAAACTTCTTTATACTATGACTTAATATCAGCCTGAACCGCTAGGTCAATTTTGTGATATTTCATGGAATGTACTTGAATACTGCATTGCTTTGCATCAAAAGACAGCTTTATCAAGGCAAGGAGGCCACACCCCATCTGTGTATAGGTTTGAACCCCGGCCTAAGGGACATAACTCTGGACAGTTTATTGCAACACCAGATAACTGGGACACCCATGACCCCTTCAGTCAATTATTTCTTCTTCAGTTATTACATCTGTGCTGTAGGTAGCTGACTAGTCTGTCTCACAGTCCCTGAACAACACTATTTTCTCCACTGCCAAGCCCTCTCTGCAGTGCTAAAGCCCTAAATAAAGCAAGTCTAGATTCCCTCTGAATCTCTGGTCTCCCTTGGGCTCCTTTTCAATATAAATGGGCTTGTTTGTTACTATCAAAATTATATATATTCAGAGACTAACCCTTAGTCTAGTAGCTGACCAGTGTGTGAATGTCTGTTTACCTGATTTCTCCTGTAAAGGCTCCCTTGTCCACCTTGTAGCAAGTCTGGGCTGCCACTGCTACATTCGCATTGACCTTTGACCTCACATAATCTAAATATGCTGCTGGTGGGGCCACAATCACATCTGTAAAGACAACATGAGCAATACTTCAGTGTGCATGTCCAATAGCACAGTTTAAAATAAATTCTGGGTAGGAAGCCTATGAAGGGCACACTTACTCTGACTTAGCAATCATATGGTAATAACAACAATACCTTATGACCACCTCCACGGTCTAGTGGCTGGAGCATCTGTCCCGAGATAGTATGCATCGTTACCTTCCTAAGCGCCCCACATTAACGGGATAAATAGAGGATACTAAACAACCTTCCGTGTAATACAATTTGTATAAAACAAGTTAATGATTTCGTGTCAAACAAGCGAAAGCAAGTCTGATACTAAATATTTCTTGATTTAAATAACACGGAAGCAAGTTTAGTATTCTGTTTATTACTCTCCAACATTACTTTCCACAAGTAAAGCAAGGTCTAATACTATTGTGACAGAGGTATTAGCATTGTAAAAATTATGACGTCAATCTTATTACACTGTGTAATATTGTGGTAAAGATATTACAAGTATCTCCCCTGGGAAGGGGGTCAAAGCTGTTTGTCACTAACTGTGTTCTGATACTAAAACGGAACCACAGCAGAACGGCACCAAAATCGTTTGAAAACGGCACCGTTTACTGATTTCTGAGCTAAAACGGCAACATATACAAAACAAAGTATGATGTTTTCGTTCGTTTAATTATAACATTAGAATCAACATATAAAAAACACAGTATGACGTTGACTTATGGTTTTTATTTCATTTCAACATTAGCAAGGTTATAACACGCGATATAGCTGGAATATTGCTAAAAGCGGCGTAAAATCATAAATCACTCAATCACCCATTACATTAAAATAACAAGATTATAATATAAAGACGATAACAAACCGTCAACATAACACATGTTCACACGTTATTTGCATGCTTATTTGGCGAATGTCTTCATGAATACTAAACGATTGGTCGTGGATCATACATCTTGGTACAGACAGGCCGGTACCACAAACACGATGAGTCCATAAATAACACTTGTCACAGGATACGGCATGTTGATTCTTCCTGACAGTCTTATCGCATACAACACAGTGGTGAGGCATTGTGATGAATGATATGTAATGTGTACATTCTTGCGTTTTGAATACAGTTTCAGGTTCATTTTGACACTGAGTTTGGGCGATTTGAGTTGATTTGTAGCCGTTTTCGCCAAGTCGAGGTTCCGTTATGTCCAAATGGTGCCGTTTTCGCCTGGTGCCGTTCTGTGGAGGTCAGGTCATCAATTTTATAGGGACCTTCATATCATCAGGAAGTTATAGAAATTATAGAAATAATTGCAGATCTGGTTAGAAAGCATTTTAATGAACACCTACCGTCATATTCTATTATTCACAGGTTCGGTCAGTTTATTTTAATTTATCAGTATTATTTTGAGATGTCTAGGGTTAGGTTAAGAGTTAAGGTCCTAATCCAATATGGTAGGTTGGTGTCCGATGTACCTGCAGATCTTTTAGGGCTTCTGAAAAAATACTTCTATCCCAAAATTATGCACATTCGAAAGAACATAAAAACGGAACAGCTTGAAAATAGACCAGAAAAGATTAGTAATCTGAAATTTGCGACACATATTACTAAGAGGAACACGTATGAATTCGTCACCACTGACGTGCAGAATGGAACGAATTTACACCACACTGTCAATCATGTTCAGATTTCTAAAGTTTCAACCTGTATTTGCGTCGAGCGGTCCGGCGTTGAGAAAAGAGATAATTCCATCAATACTGGATTTGTTGCCATTCATTTTCCAGTTGCCACCTACGACAAATTTTCTTTGACTAGCCATCTTAGAAGAAGTAATTTGTGCAGACTCAGACGAACGACAGCTACCGGCAAAGTGACCTTGAAGAGTGACTGCGGTCAAGGCCACACTAAACTGGCTCTCTGGTGATTACAAGGGAGGCGATATATTTGAAGACAGAACCGAGTTGAACTTCTGTAACCTTTTTATCTTGTGTACAACCCGGTTTAATGCTACATAATATTTGCATTTTTTGTGAAGGCAAATGTGGGATGTGCAATAAGCCTGTCAGTGCGATATTTCTATATATTTTGACTGTCTCCGTTCGGGGAGTTTTATTATGTTTGCTTGGTTCGTTTCAGTTTTCCCTTTTTTGAGTAACCCGCGGGAAATATATCGCTAGCAGACAACACTTACGTAAGTTGGATGAAATGTTTGTGTTGTTTGTGTTAATAATTATCCGTTCTCGTTGACAACCTGATGGTAAAGTAAAACTAATGGAAGAAATGAACTCAAATTAAGTCACAGTTTATTTAGGTAAGTCTCCGACGTGAGGCCGAGGTTTGTGACAGGCCGAGCATCATAGCCTCGCCGTAGGTGATGGCAGGTTTTTAATTTTTGATGGAGACAAATGTGGGAACGTTATGATAATTTTAGCAATTTTTCATTGCAAATTGTTCTAAGACGTCGCCAAAGTTTCAGAACAATCTTCGGGATGTTATTTCATTTCATATTGGGATGTGTTATTTCATTAATTTGTTCTAGAGAAATGAAAACCTTACCTTATAATCCAGGCCATTCATGATTCTGGAGAACAATCAGTCTATCTTACAAATGAACCATCAAAATGAATAGATCACATATTCACTCATATATCAATATAACTGTTTTAGTACTGTTTCTCAATCACACTAATCATACAATCAGAGTTCAATTGAATGTTAACTGCTATGTAAGAAAACTAATTTATATTGGTCCTGCTTCTAGAGTCTATCCTCATCAGGTGAGACAACGACTCCAACATGGGTCCTAGGAGGTCGAAGAGATGTCAAGAAAAGAACAACCTGTTACAAGAAAGTGGAGCAACATATTCGAGGAAACAACGCAAGAAAATGACAAATCAAAAATGGAATGACAACGATGACAAAAGTTCTCAGCCAGTTGTTGATGACGCTTATGAAAATAAAGCCAAAGCCACTGAACTGTCCACATCATGTCAGAGAATCCAAAACGGTCTTACGGAAGTGGAAATTGATTTTTCTATGAGGAAAACAGATCTATCTGTCCCAACCAATTTTATGTTTCCATATCTTCAGCGAAGTCTCAACTTCACCCATCATCAGTATCAGGCTTCCGTGGGCCTGCTCTCTCATCCACGACTCCAGCATTCACAGGTTAGACATGTTCAGCACTTTTCCCCCACAGATATAGATGTATGGATTATAGTCTTTCTTTTTCAGCTCCACCAAGAGATTGATGGATAATTAGAAGAAACAGGTCCAACTAAATCAGAGTATCCATTAACAGATTAACTTGGTTATAATTGGTCAGGGGCGGTGGGGTAGCTCAGTGGTTAAAGCATTTGCTTATCATGACGAAGACCCGTGTTCGACTCTCTACATGGGCACAAAGTGTGAAGCCCATTTCTGGTGTCCCCAGCCATATTGCTGGAATATTGCTAAAAGCGGCATAAAACTAAACTCACTCACTCACTATAATTGGTCAGCAGCAGCACATGCTTAGTAAATGTTGTAAGAGATGTGTGTTGGATCAGCTGGTCAGACTCAAGGACATGGATCATGCATGTCATCACATCTTTATTATCGGCATGTTGATAAATGCTCATTATATCGGTCACTGGATTTTCTGCTGGCTCAATTATCTTCAGGCTGAGGGGCGGTGGGGTAGCCTAGTGGTTAAAGCATTCGCTTGTCACGCCGAAGGCCCGGGTTCGATTCCCCACATGGGCACAATGTGTGAAGCCCATTTCTGGTGTCCCCCGCCGTGATATTGCTGGAATATTGCAAAAAGCGGTGTAAAACCCAACTCACTCACTTTTCAGGCCTCCATCATACAGCTGAATCATGTGCATTGTGTATAGTTTATATCCACTGTTACAGAAACATCTTAGGCCTTCTGAGTAAAAGTTCAGTCCCATATCTGTAGAAATTGTTAACATCCTACACTTCGAACAGAATGAGCAGTTATTGTTGCAACTATGTGAACCAGCTACAGCTGTTTACATCAAATCAAAGTGAAAAGATATTGACCAATTACTTTTATTTCTACGATTTTAAACCAGTCACTGAGGACAAAAAAGAATTACCTTATTCAATCAGCCCGTTGTTTCATTTGCAAGACATCTAAAAATCTATAGAAGTCAGAAATACTTTTTCCAAGGCCACTTTTAAGTCCTTCCTTTTAACTGTCACCTATTTTTGACTAAATAAGCAGAATAGTCTGCTCTACAGGTCGTTGTACTGTACATAATCGATATTTCAACCCATGTTAAACAAGCTTTTCAAGGAGTAAAATTGTTTGAAAGAGAGAGAATGTCACATTTTTACTAAAGTCCTTATGATCACGAGACTGTCTGTGACAATGCCTTTGATCTGTTTCAGGGCGTGGCAGGTCCTGTAGTCAGCATGGTATCTAACATGCAGCTGTTACGCACTGGTAGTCCATTTGACCGCCGAGTGACCGCCATGGCATGGCACCCCAGCAATCCCAATGTCCTAGCAGCTGGTTCCAAAGGTGGCGACATTTACCTGTGGGACATTGACAACATCAACAACAACGACAACTTCATCCATGGTGTAGGCAGATTTATTATACATGTGCTGTGTTCGAAACCAATCATGAAAGTCAGTCTGACCTCATCATTGCCATGAGGTTAATAAAAGTTAAGCAGAGGGGTTCCAAAGATTAAAATGGTGTGAGATCAAATCTGAAAATTATGGCCCCATGTAATTGCTATTCTAGGATTGCAAAATTGTAACTGGGGTACTGACTAGCACCCATGTACCCACAAAACTCATGATCAGTCACGGGATATGTTGTGTAGTGACAGTTTGTTCAAATTGCCTCTGTTCACCCAGCAGAAAATGGGTACCCCGGTTGGATAAAGTCATGTGACTATAACCTTCTAGCGCCTAATAGGCAGCTTGGGTTATCCGGGGTAATAATAATCAGAGTGTTAGCGCTTTGAGCAGGAGATTAGTGCATCATAAGACTTCTAATTATTATTATTATTTATTATTATTATTAATACCTCCATCTATTAGAGACTTGCTTCTATTAGAGATGGATACTCACATCGCCAACACGGTACTCTCATCTTCTGTATATGACATTTCATATCAAAGGTCTTTGTCATGTCTAACCATGTCTGGAAATGAAGTACTAGTGACGGACGACAGAAGCATGGTCTTATATAGCTACCATTTTATGACGGATAGTAATGAGTAATCAAAAGATGACTTATTTCCCATTTCCCTTATCTACTTGAAACTTACATATCTCCAACACGGGTTGAAGGGTGAAGCAGGCTATAGTTTGTTTGTTTGTTTGAGTATATGGGACACATTCATCTACAGGACAATGAGTTGTAAGTGGTAAGTGTTTGCTGCATGGGTTAAATTTCAAGATCTAGGAGGTCCCGAAATATATATAACATTTACCTTAATACCAAGTTATTTGGATCAAGACTGAAGGGGTACAGAATTTCTTAGTTCAAGACAGTATAGGTAACTAAGGTTCTTGATAAGATGCTGCATGTTACCCTGTGAGGAATGGACAAGAGGAATTCTGTAAAGCCATTCTGCAAAGGCAGCATTTTGTATCTCAGATAGGACCTGGGGGATCCATACAGGCCCTCAAGTTCTGGCCTTGGAATGACAGGCGTATCATCACTGCCTCCATTGATGGGAGAGTCGTAGTCCAGGACACTGACGGCAGGAAGACAGATGTGCTGTCTGACACCTTCAACTGCTATGAGTAAGTACCTTCATTTAAGCTGTAATGAGCAAGCTTGGTGAACCAGTAAAAAATCCTTGTTAAAGCTGTAATGAGTAGGCTTGGTGAACCGGTAAAAATCCTTGTTAAAGCTGTAATGAGTAAGCTTGGTGAACCGGTAAAAATCTTTGTTAAAGCTGTAATGAGCAGGTCTGGTGATCCGGTAAAAAATCCTTGTTAAAGCTGTAATGAGTAAGCTTGGTGAACCGGTAAAAATCTTTGTTAAAGCTGTAATGAGCAATCTTGGTGATCCGGTAAAAAATCATTGTTAAAGCTGTAATGAGCAGGTCTGGTGATCCGGTAAAAAATCTTTGTTAAAGCTGTATGAGCCAGTTTGGTTCATCACCACATGGCAAAATCCTTGTTAAACTTGTCAGGCGCGTAGCAAGCCAATTTTTTCCGTGTAAAACCGATAGGTTGCAAAGCTTTACATTTAGATAGTATTGAGGGCTTGTCCAACCTTTTTAGCAACAATTATGTGTAAGCCCGCTTTTTTCTAGAACAGTAGCTATGCCCCTGGCTGTTATTGATAAGTCAGTTGTATTATCAGCCTTGTTCAAGCCCCCATGAATATCATTGTGTATCATCTCAAAATCTCTATAAGTGATGATACCAAAATATGTTTAGGAAATTGGACACTTTCGCTACTTGTTAAATTTTGAATGTTTTACCTTGATTCGGTTACCAAAAGGTATTTAATTCTAGTCATCACCAGTATCTTCAACTGAATTTGTTCAAGACATTTCCCAGATGAGTTTTGGATTACATTTGGTTCTTTTTATCCCACCGGCATGTAATGCGGTGGGATATAGTCGTCGCCTCGTCCGTCTGTCCGTCCGTCCGTCCATCCATCTGCCCGTCCGTCCGTAATCATTTTGTTTCCGGAGCATAACTCAAAGACAGTTAGATATTTTTCAACAAAAATTGGTATATATGTCAAACATAACCTAAGGTGGTGCCTTTTGCTATTTACAGATTATTGTCATTTTTATTTTTCTCGGTTTCCATGGAAACGTTTTGGACTTAGTCTTAAAGAAGGGTGGGCTTCGTTTCCGGAGCATAACTAAAAAAAAACGTTCGATATTTTTCAACAAGACTTGGTAGATATGTGAGGCAGATCCCTAAGTGGTGCCTTTTGCTATTTGCAGATTTTTGGCAGTTTTATTTTTCCCGGTTTCCATGGAAACGATTCAGACATAGTCCCAAAAGGGAGGGGTGGGCTTCGTTTCCGAAGCATAACTCAAGAACCGTTCAATATTTTTCAACAAAACTTGATAGATATATCAAACAGATCCTAAAGTGGTGCCTTTTGCTATTTGGCAGAATTTGGCCTATTTATTTTCCCTGATTTTCCTGGAAACGATTCGGACTTAATCCCAAAAGGTAGGGGTGGGCTGCTTTTTAGGAGTATAACTCAAGAACCGTTCAATATTTTTCAACAAAACTTGGTAGATATATCAAACAGAACCTTAAGTGGTGCCTTTTGCTATTTGAAGATTTTGAGCATTTTTCTTTTTCCCGGTTTCCATGGAAACGATTCGGACTTAGTCCCAAAGGGAGGGGTGGGTTTCGTTTCCAGAGCACAACTCCAAAACTTCTTAATATTTTTCAGCAAAACTTGGCAGATATGTGAGGCAGATCCCAAAGTGGTGTCTTTTGCTATTTGCAGATTTTTGTCATTATTTTTATTGGTTTCCATGGAAACGATTCAGACTTAGTCTTAAAAGGGCGGGGTAGGTTTCGTTTCCGGAGCACAACTCAAAACTTCTTAATATCTTTCAGTAAAACTTGGCAGATATGTGAGGCAGATCTTGAAGTGGTGCCTTGTGCTATTTGCAGATATTTGTCATTTATTTTTTCCATGATTTCCATGGAACGATTTGCACTTAGTCTAAAATCAAGCTGGACTTTAAGTAACTGTCAGATGATTTGTTCTTTCAAAGATGTCGGGGCCGGGGGGATTTGTCATCTTCTGATGACTCTTGTTTTATATTATAATGTTTTTATGGTAATATCATTGAGCAAATTTCTACACCATTGGAGTAGACTGACACAACCTGCCAGGTAAAACATTGTTGCCACCTCATTCTCACAACAGTGTCGACATACAGACAGTAAAACTGTTCCATGCATGTTTCAGCTTCTGGTACTGCTCTCTGGATGTGAGCCAGGCACGGAAGCTTGTTGTTGCCGGGGACAATGTGGGCAACACGCTGCTGTTGTCTCATGAAGGGAAGAAGGTGAGTGTGGCCTGAGAGCATCACCTTGTGGTGGTGACTGAGCCTTTGGCTTCATGCGACATGGATACATTCAGAGATGCCAACCTCTACGATTTTATCATAGTCGCTACAAATTTTAGCCTCAAACTATGCCAATACAATTGCACTAGAAATTCTACGAAATTTGAAGAAAATTCATTAAAATTTGGATATATAGACAAGAACATATATTTTCGTCGATTAAATACATAAAAATTAAATACATCGCCAAAAAGACACAACAAGAAAAAAAAAAATTTTTGGAAATCTGCTTTTGGAGGTACGTGGAATAAAAGCTTCACTCTTGATTAGTGTCATATTATCTTTCTCAGAATCCATCATGATTTTAAGTATTTGGTTGACTACTAATTTTATGGTCAAACTACTAATTTTGATCCTTAAAACTACTATTTGGAATACTTTGAGGTTGGCATCTCTAGTATATTGATCTAAGTGACAGCGAAGGAACAAACTGGTATGGTATGGTGAATGACTGAAGCTGCTGTATAATGACTTTCTGTCATGTTCCAACCCGACAACATGCTTAAAGATGATAAGACTTCATTATGTAGTGCGTTTATTGATTTTCCTGTGACATAATTTTTGTTGTAACGTAACTGATCAATGTCAGATCTGGAGCCACAGACTACACAAGGGCAAGGTCACCCATGCTGAGTTCTCCCCTCGTGAAGACTGGTTGTTATGTACTGCTTCCATCGATCACACTGTCAAGCTGTGGGACGTACGCATGATCCGGGACAAGAAGAGTGCCCTCTGTGTTCTTCAACATGACAAGGGAGTCAACTCTGGTATGTCTAGTTTGGAGACACGCTACTGAGGTAATACTAACAAGAAACAGATAGCGCATGTTTGTAGGGATGCCACAATACATCGATACTTTTTCTAAGACGATACAATTATCGATACATTCAAAACTGTATCGATGTTTAGTTTTGAAAGTATCGATTTAAATTTGTTTATGTATCATTTACATTTTGCGTGACATGGGTATCATGATACGTATCAATTCCATAAATTATTATCTTGACATCCCTACATGTTATCACCTTGAGACTGTACCAGTGAGTTATGTTTTACACTGTTTTTGAGCAATATTCCAGCAATATCACGGCAGGGGACACCAGAAATGCACAGAGACTGCATTGATGGTAACCGACTCAAACCCTGATCAGCATATCAAGCCTGATATTGACTGGGTCAGTGTTCAACCCTTACTCACTTGTCTCACTTACTCAGCAGTATGTAAACTACTTATTAGAGCTCTGTATGTTGTTTAATTCAGTGTACTTCAATCCATCTGATGGCTGCCGGCTCCTCACTACTGATCAGGGATCTGAAATTCGGGTGTATCAGGCTCCAGAGTGGAGCCTTGAAAGGACAATACCACATCCTCATCGTTTCTTCCAGCACATCACACCCATCAAGGTAGGATGTGTTAAGGGAGGATAATGTAATGGCCTAGTACATGACATCCATCAAGGATGGACATGTTAAGGGAGGGTAATGTAATTGCATTGTACATGACAAGCAACAAGGAAGCATGTGTTAAGGGAGGACAATGTAATGGCCTGTATATGAGAAGCATCAAGGTAGGTCCTGTCAAGGGAGGATAATGTAGTGGCCTGGTACATATTACACATCAAGGCCATGCAGTCCTCATGTCCTTGCGACAGCCTCCACGGAGTAGTGGTTGGAGAGCAGAAGGTCGCGGGTTAGATCCCCGACCGGGTCATACCATAAGACGTTAAAATATGGTACTTGTTGGTCCCTGCCTGGCTCTCGGCATTATTGGGTACAACAAGGACTGGTCGGCTCGGAGTCAGTATACTGTGTCTGAGTGGGGTATTCATGCTTCACTGCGGCATGGTATCTCAGTGAGCTAGCACTATAAACCAGCTTAAGTCTGGGCTAGTACAGGCAGCCGCACATACACATACACACGCATACACGTCGTCATATGAGCGAAATATTCTCAAGCACGACGTTAAACCCAATTTCACCTCACCTCATGTCCTTGCACACCATACCTATCAGAGGTGATCGTGTAATGGCCTGGTGCTTTACACCGAACAAAGTATGTCTTTCAAGAGATAAGTTATTCGACATGGGATCAATATGTCTTGTCTAATGCTTCTTGTTTGTGTATGTGCAGGCATCCTGGCACCCCCTCCTGGATCTGATCGTGGTAGGCCGCTACCCTGACAAGACATTCCCTGGCTACATGGACGGCGAGAGACGAACAGTCGATGTTTTCGATGCGTCCACAGGGGCTAGAGTTTGCCAGCTACATGACCCATCAGCGCCAGGGATAGTCTCGGTGAGGGAAGCATGTGATATCAATATCTGTGTGATCTGTTCACTTTTCCAAAACAGTAGTTTACAAAACCAGTGTATGAAAGATAACTAGTTTTATTTGCGATTTTAGCAATTGCCTGAATTGTGTTCTTGTTAAATTATCCCATTGAAGTGAGTGATTTTAGTACAATGCTGATTTTTACAGTATTTCAGTCATGTTATGACATGTTGGCATAAAGTTGGAAGAAAGCCCTGAGTGAGGCCCAAAGCCTTTGTAAAATTGATTGTGATTGGTCTGTTTAGTAAGCCAATCATGCAGATTCACATTTTGTTGCCATAGGACACACACTGGCTGTCAGTCTATTCATCTTTCGTTTTACACGAAGAAGCAATGTCCACATGTTGTTGTATTTCAGAAAACCTGGTCCAAACTTTGCCTATAGCTGTCATTCAACCAAGCAGCAAATCGTATCGAATGTACAGTGTTTACCCATCACAAAAATATGTAGTTACAGAGTATTCCCAGTTTCATGTTGATAATTCAGAATCAACCTTACAAGTAGTCTATTGTCGTGGGTGAGTGAGTTTAGTTTTACGCAATATTCCAGCAATATCACGGCAAGGGACACCAGAAATGTAGTGTCATGGGTTTTAGGAAGCTGGTGCACATGCATTGTTTTCTCAATTATCTCATGAACAAATGTAAAACATTGCACTAACTTATCAAAGCCAACTTTATCTTAAACACAAGCTATCATCAGAGTATTTACAATGCCTGCACGACACAACTTGCCAAAAATGTCTGTCCGAAAACATAATCCACGAAGTTAACATGTTGTAGTCCCTGGCCCAAACTGTCTCATAATGTCAAACATGTTGTCCAGTTGTGTTGATAACTCAGACTTACACATCAACTAACAAAACCATTCAGTAAGTGTTGAAGTGTTCATTTGAGTTGTTAATGAACACTGAGATTGGGTATTATTTCAACTTACCTGTATTGAAAGTTGAAAGTAGGATATGAACTCTAGTAACTTTTAAGTTTTGCATGACTAACAAGTCACAGCAGTTTGACATGACCCACAAAATGTTCTAAATGGCTGACATAACTGAGGACAGGTGGACCTTGGGCCCACTTTCTTTAATGGCTAGGATGAGTGAGGAGTTGGTGTTATGCCGCTTTATGCAATATTCCAGCAATATCACAGCAGGGGACACCAGAAATGGGTTTCACACATTGTACTAATGTGGGAAATCAAACCCGGATCCAAACACTTTCACCACTAAGCTACCCCACCGCCACGGCCAGGATGAACACTGGGAATAGTGCAGGCTGTACAAATTGCCTCGCCTTAGACAAGTGGGCAAGCTTTTCTCGTTATGCATTACTGCACACTTGCGGAATAAAACAACTTTCAACATACATGTATTTCTATTTTACAGTTGAACACATTCAGCCCAGATGGAGATAAGCTGGCTTCAGGCATGGGTAAGTGAATCTTCTGTTCTGTAATGTTCCTTAACTTGGAAAGTATGTATTGGGAGGAGTTATCACCATGTGTTTACGACAACTGAGTGAATCCCGGCTGTTTCTAGGTGTGGTGTCAGCTCACTGTGTGAATCCAGACTATTTCACATGTGAACCTCTTGGTGTGATGTTGACTCGCTGAGAGAATCTTGACTGTTTCAGTTGTGAACCTCTTGGTGTAGTGTCCGCTCACTGAGAGAATCTCAACTGTTTCAGGTGTGAACCTCTTGGTTTGGTGTCAGCTCACTGAGAGAATCTCAACTGTTTCAGGTGTGAACCTCTTGGTGTGATGTTGACTCACTGAGTGAATCTTGACTGTTTCAGGTGTGACCTCTAGGTTTGGTGTCAGGTCACTGAGAGAATCTCAACTGTTTCAGGTGTGAACCTCTTGGTTTGGTGTCAGCTCACTGAGAGAATCTCAAATGTTTCAGGTGTGAACCTCTAGGTTTGGTGTCAGCTCACTGAGAGAATCTCAAGTGTTTCAGATGTGAACCTTTTGGTGTGGTGTCAGCTCACTGAGAGAATCTCAACTGTTTCAGGTGTGAACCTCTTGGTGTGGTGTTGACTCACTGAGTGAATCTCAACTGTTTCAGGTGTGAACCTCTTGGTGTGGTGTTGACTCACTGAGAGAATCTCAACTGTTTCAGGTGTGAACCTCTTGGTTTGGTGTCAGCTCACTGAGAGAATCTCAACTGTTTCAGGTGTGAACCTCTTGGTTTGGTGTCAGCTCACTGAGAGAATCTCAACTGTTTCAGGTGTGAACCTCTTGGTGTGGTGTTGACTCACTGAGAGAATCTCAACTGTTTCAGGTGTGAACCTCTTGGTGTGGTGTCAGCTCACTGAGAGAATCTCAACTGTTTCAGGTGTGAACCTCTTGGTGTGGTGTTGACTCACTGAGAGAATCTCAACTGTTTCAGGTGTGAACCTCTTGGTTTGGTGTTGACTCACTGAGTGAATCTCAACTGTTTCAGGTGTGAACCTCTTGGTGTGGTGTTGACTCACTGAGAGAATCTCAACTGTTTCAGGTGTGAACCTCTTGGTGTGGTGTCAGCTCACTGAGAGAATCTCAACTGTTTCAGGTGTGAACCTCTTGGTGTGGTGTCAGCTCACTGAGAGAATCTCAACTGTTCCAGGTGTGAACCTCTTGGTGTGGTGTCAGCTCACTGAGAGAATCTCAACTGTTCCAGGTGTGAACCTCTTGGTGTGGTGTCAGCTCACTGAGAGAATCTCAACTGTTCCAGGTGTGAACCTCTTGGTGTGATGTTGACTCACTGAGTGAATCTTGACTGTTTCAGGTGTGAACCTCTTGGTGTGGTGCAGACAGGATGAGGTGGAGAAGAAGCAGCTGGTCCTGCTTCAGAAGTACAAGCAGGGATCCAACTCCTCGTCAGACCCCTCACAGAGACAACCAAAAAGGAAAAAGCCAACCAACACACAGACCAAGTCCAAATCTACAAAAGACACTGCTCAGCTGAAAACTAAGCTAAAAACAAAAACAAAGAAACTCTGAACTTTTTTGTATGATGGATCTTTGTAAATAATCATGTCAGGACCAGACGATCACATTAAAAGTCACAACTCAGAACTCAAATAAAACTTTTCCTACACGGTTTTCCTTTTCTTTGTCTTTAACCAAAGAAATAGTGTTGTAAGTCATACTATGTCAATTTTATACCAATATTAACAGTTGCAATACTTGAATACCTCGTACAAAATACTAGATGCCTGAATACCTTTCGAACAGGAAACTGTAATTCCCACAAGTCACTGTTAGTGGTTACATTATATGTTCTGTTTTATGTTCCTTTGGCCACTGACTGAAACTGTACCCTGGCTGTTGGGTCAACCAACCTCTTCCATGCATGTTTAGTTCATTAGGACAGTGCGCGGTGGGTTAGCCTAGTAGTTAAAGCGTTGGCAACTCACGTGGAAGACCTGGGTTCAATTCCCCACATGGGTACAACGTTTGGAGCCCATTTCTGGTGTCCCCCGCTATGATATTGCTGGAATATTGCTAAAAGCAGCATAAAACCCAACTATTGCTGGAATATTTCTAAAAGCGGGGTAAAACCCAACTCACTCACTCGCTCGCTCACTCACTCTTTGGGACAGCATTGGTACAATACAACTGACATCTGGTTTTACTTTTATGTCCGGTATTGGTAGCAGTAACACTCGGCCTGCTGGTCCCCTACATGTATCAAAAAGTGGCTGTTGATGGCTGCAAAACGGGAACAAACATGAGTGCATTAGCGTGTTTAAACATATTGTTGTGTTATTAGCGATTGACAAACAGGTTTAATTGTCAGTATCCAGTGGCAAACGATAGTTACCTTGTTGGTAACAACCATGCTCAGTTACAAACAATAGCCAGTCTACGTATTTGTCGGTACCAACTGATATGCAACAGTCAGCTTGTGGTTAATCGTCGGTACCCATGGACAAAAAAAATAGCCAGCCTGATGGTTACCGTCAGTGCCTATCGGCAAACAGTAGCCAGTTTTTGAGTATAATTGATGTCTCTAGAAGATCCCCACGGTGAATGCTGGGAATCTGTTGTTCCTCTGTCACTCGACTGAACTTCTTCCAACAACTTTCGCCAACAGCTTTTGAGAAGTATGCTTTGGTAGGAAAGAAACGTCAGGGGAAGAAAGTATCTAAGAAACTGCGTCCCCGTACTCCTCTCCCCTGCTCCCAGAGGTTCCCCTTTTCAACATCAGACAGAAACGCTACTTTCCACATTCATACTTGATACTGAAGGATTTTGTCGAAGGCTTTGCCTCTCTCATGTATCCGGATCGTCTGGGACTCTCATCATGGCTGGGCAGAGACTCTTGTGCATCCGACAACAAAGCCTTTAAATTGCTTCCCCAGATACAGGCATGAGGGAGCCAGGCTGACGTTGACGTCCGTGATTGACGATGTGCCCCCTCGATATTTTTTGCCCCTTTCCAATCTGCAGGCGCAGAGGTGTTAATTTTCAGCAAGCCGGAGTACTGCATAAGCGTTATGTACAGTTAAAAAGGTGTTTTTTGTGAGAACCTAAACAATAATTGTGTACTCCACATTTACAATGTAGAGTATCACGAACCAAACAAACATCCTCATTGTGCGAGGTGTATAAAGATATACGTGCCAATTCTGATATTTGACTATCATAAACCAAGCGTCACGGCCCACTTGTGGATGAGATTAATTAATACTGAAATGTGCATTGTGTAATTTCAGAGTTGAACTTTGAAAGAAGCACAGTTAATATTTTCTGTTTGTATGCTAGAACTGCAATTTCAAGATAACAATGTTAAAATATATTACATGGGTTTTATGACGTTATATCGTTCTTTTAACAATTAATATGCATACCATTGCAGCCTTATAATAAATCACCCGTTGATGTAAACAAACGTTTGAATTTTCAATTAATTGGAAATTTCAGGAAAATTCAAGCAAATAGATTTTACGAGGTTCAAAATAATGTTTACAGATAAATAAGAAATTATAACCATCCACCCGTCCTTTCTTGACACAGATACATGTTTTCCAACTCATCATCCCTCGTGTATTATTCTGTTTGTTAATCTGTTTGCTTTTCGAATCATACCCGTGAAGATCCGGGTTAGAATTGGTCTTCAGCAACCCATGCTTAGCAAGAGGCGACTAACGGGATCGGGTGGTCAGACTCGCTGACTTGGTTGACACATGTCATCATTTCCCACACTGCGCAGATCGATGCTCATGCCGTTGACCACTGGGCTGTCTGGTCCAGATTCGATTATTAACAGACCGCCTGCCATATAGCTGGAATATTGCTGAGTGCGGCGTTAAACAAACAAACGAACCAACTTTTCGAATCCGTAATATGAAGTGCAGCACATCCATGTGTTTTAAATTTGATCATCCACTGCCATAGAAAACTTGTTTGTTTTACAAACGATTAATATGGAAAGTTCATTTAACATCTTCACCCGAAATAACCACATAGTGAGCTTCAGTTGAAACAACAAGAAATTATATGTCCCTTACAACTATAGAAAAGCATATACTTGAAAGAACGTTACTCACACACATGGTGTTTTTCATTGAACGAACCATATTTATTGATTACGATAACAGAATAAACAACTGTTGATGTGTATTTAAAGACAGAGTACCATTTTATGAAATGATGAGTTAAACTATTTTTCTCGTGGTAATTTTGTTTAGAACGTATGGCTAGTTCAGTAAGTACAACCTTCTTCAGTTGGAAACGAAACTGAGCAGCACCAGCTTGTTATATTGTCACAAGTAACACCTGTCTCATTTTGTCCTTTGCAAGTGTACCATATTTTCCGTAACTAAATAAGGAATAAACAAGTGTTATGATGTTGAACATATATTTATTCAATACAAAGGTAATACAAGAAAAGACGTTGTGTGAGAATTATTCAATCGATCATTGATCAGTTCAGATAAAGAAAATGACAATATATATTGTTTTATAAAGGCCCTGGTCACAATCAGGAGTCATATCAGGAGTCATATGTTTTAGATGATGCTTGTTATAAGATCCTAAATGAATACTAAAAGCATGAAAAATATGTCACGTCACATTTTAAGGTTGAACTGACTTGATGTGATTACCATTTATTACCAACTCTCAATATGGCTTTTTTACCATGTCAAGGGTCCAAAAACCTGTAAAGTTTAAATTATGAAAATGCCTGTGATACACGCCAATTACCGATAACGGGTGAGTGCACGCCAAATCTCATGCAGGAAAACCGACTTGAGGAAACATACGTGTAACACAAGTCAATGATGTTAAACAATATGCAATATGTAACTAACAAGATAATATATGTTGTTTGCACTACCAGGTTTATTAAGTCACTTCCAGATTTGGAAATATACCTCTTGTTAACATTACCTCAACAATAAAGATAGAGGCAAAAGTATTATAGTCACTTCCCGTCAATGACATATACTAAATTGCATCCTACTACAGTGAACTCTGCTTGTGTTCTTTGAGCGAAATTGATACATTTGACAACTGACAAGTCTGATTCTTGCAAATACGTTCCTCTAACATTTGATTCCCTTTTTCCTGAAACTTTCTTATAGTGAGTGAGTGAGTTTAGTTCTACGCCGCACTCTGCAATATTCCAGCTATATGGCGACGGTCTGTAAATATCGAGTCTGGACCAGACAATCCAGTGATCAACAGCATGAGCATCGATCTGCGCAATTGGGCCTCTTACGACAAACATGGGTTACTGAAGGTTCATTCTAACCCGGACCTTCACGGGTTCTACCTTAAAACCAACATGATTGGCTTAAATAAAATGTGTCTTCCTTCCTTGTGGTTCTCCAATCGGCATACACAGGATTTATCTCCCCAAACGGAAGCGTGGAGGAAAACCTGATAATTTTCCTGTAGCTCACATGATCGCGTGTATTTACTTGTTCTCTGAAAACAATTTTAAACTTTTCTAAGGTTCGGGTATCTCTTTATCTCTTGTATCATGGTTAAATTAAAGGTTCAACATTTTCCCCAGCTTCACCTTCATGCACTAAGAAGTGTGTAGCATATTCTTTTGAGCGGCGGTATGCGTTAGTCTTCAAGTAAAGGCAAGACAAAAGATGCTTTAGAAACTATTAAAGTCCCGCTGGACGCCGAAGTCAAACGTCAGAAGAGCTAAGCATCCCCTCTGTCTTGTCTGATTTGGATACGTGTGTTGTGCCCTAAAACCTACAGTGGTCTTAAATGCACAGAAATCATGAATATTCATGAGTGGGCGGAGCTTATGTCACTACGTCGCATACACGGCACAGTATCTTTCGCGGAACTAGTGGAGGGAGTTGACCAACGCTTCTTCGTCTGTTATTGCCTTATGCAATGTGACAGCTACAATATGCATATGAGGTATATGTAAACATGCACTTAAGACCATTGTAGGTTTTAGGGCACCACATACGTGGAGTCGACATCTAAGCCATGATTTATGGCTTTAAATCGGATATCTCCAAGATCGCATATCTAAAGTCAGGTCTGGTTCAGAACGGACATAAACTAAGGACGGGATTGAACTGCTTGAAAACCTTGTCCACACGGGGTGAACGGGCAATTTTACCCAGTTTGAACATAATACCAACTGTCTGGGGACGGGGTAAAGACAAGATAGATGTACTGAAAACTGTTTATGATTGAACTAGCATCGTAATTTTTACAAAAGTTACACGTTCCATCCCGTTCGAGCCCGCTTTACAATTATTTTTGGACGGGGCAGGACGTACTAAGAACTACTTTGGTGTGACTGAGGCTTGGCACTACAGAGTTCTCTTGGGACCAGATGACAAAAGGTCCAGAGGATTATGAACTGTTCTGATTTGACTTTAAAACAGACTCGGCAGACCAAAACTCGGCTATATACATTTGCCAACAGGCCTGCCGCTCCAGAGGTCTCCTTTCTCAACTCTAGCCCCCATGGCAAGATCGGGAAGATTTCTCTCTTGAGATACAGTGATCAGGAGTACCTGTATTTAATGTTAGGACCAAGAGGAAGCGACTATCATTAAGGACCTTAAATTTGCAAGTTAATATGATATTGTTTAGCAACATTCTTAAACAAAGCA